CTCGACACTGCGATCAAAGACCTGCTAAAGACAAAAAAGAAATCGAAAAAAAAGATCAAAGACCTGAAAAAGAAGCCCAAGAAAAGCATTAAAGATGCAGAGCCATTGTCGGGGAATGCTTTCCCCAACAAAAAGCTCCAACACAAGCCTGGGTCCAAGTGTAGTGCTTTGAAAAAAGTGCAAAGGAGTGATGCTGACGTAAAAGATAAGCTTGGATTCAGTAAAAATATCTTGCATCAAAAGCAAATGGATAAAAGTGAGACAGCAGACTCTCTCAGAGGGGAAGAACTAGACACCAAGCCACTGCAGATTGTTGACCCCCATCTTGAAATTGACGATGACAGCAGCTCAGTAGACAGTAATGACAGCATTGAGCTAGAGATAAGAAGGTTTCTGGCTGAGAAGGCCAAAGTTTCCTCTGGAGACAAAAGCGATGATGTAGCTATGTCTAAGAATGGTTCCTATGTGGTTCAAGACACAGATGTTCAGTTTCCTGTCGTTGACGTTAAACAGGAAACTCAGCTGGCTGAGATTCCTCTAAAACCTAATAGTCCGCTGTCTGTACCTCAAGTAAGGACCCCACAGAGGATTGATCCTGAGATAACATCGAACAGCCCAGAGTCATGCGCAACATCTATTCAGTCCTGCAGTCCCAGTCTTTTGGAGCCAGCCGATGGTGCAGGAGCAACTAGGAACCAGCAAATGAGGACCAATGCTGCCAGTGATGCTCCAGTAAACGGGACTCAACATGTGGAAAGAGTTCACCCAGCTTTGAGTCAAGACCGGGCTCGTTCCCTTGCAGAGTCAATTAAATGGCGCCAGAGCCTGGGGCTTCCCGTTCCTGACCCAAAGACCCTAAGCTGGACTTCCTTTCATATCACCTCTTTGGAAAGACTCTCTTCCTCAGAAAATCGGGACTTAAAATCACAGACTCCCACCTCTGCTTGGTGCACTCCAAGGACCAGCAGAGCTCCTTTTTCCAACTCGACAGATGTAGGTGGGAATACCCCAGTCAGACCCCCCGTTCTAAAGTTTTCCCCTGCTGCCAGGCAGCACTCAAAGATGACCTTTACACAGAGCCTTACGCCTGGAAACAGGTCCCAGTTCTCCTTGGAAGAAGGCCGGGCGAGTACTGTTCACGTTCCTAAGGACAAGAGTGTGTTTGTAGAGCTGGAGACTAATAGGACCAACCATGTCCAAGTTCAAAGCAGGGAAAGGAGTGAGGGAAAGAAGGCAGACTCTCTTAATGAGAGAAAAAGAGAAGGCAAGAGCAAGAAGATGTATGATGAAGGAGCTCATCAAGACAGAGAGGATGAAGAGTTTATAGATGAGTCAGATTGTGAATCAGGCAGCAAGAGAGATCCAGATAAGAAGCAGGGCTTTCCAGCATTGTAAGTATTTGCTTTGATCACTAACCCTCAACATCATCATAGTTCTATATGTTTACTTCCTAATGTTGCCCTGCTAATTAATACCACATCGCTTAAACTCATGTACAAACTCTAAGGGAATACTTGTTGGTATAATAAAACAAAACATGCTCTTTTTGTATAGTTAATGTGTAACACCGTGGCAACAATACATTTTGCGCTCTTTTTCTTATTTCATATCCTCAGTTGTGAAAAGCAATACAGTGGGGTTTTGGTACAGTAAGAGGTAGGAACACCAGGAGAATGTGTATTACCTAAAGAAATAAAACACCTTTTTCTTTTAGAAGCAATGGAGAAATATAGCAATGTCACTGCGGCAAAATAAAGATTTAAGGGAAAGAAAATGGTCAGAATTTTTTACTTCTTTTTATAGAACCACTCGGAAATCCAGGGTAACGTCTTGATGATTAAAAAACTACAAAAAAGTTTCACATAATCTCTCTGGAGATGCCTATGAAAAACTTCAGTTTCTAAAGTCATAATAGAATTTCATATAAGATTAATTTTTCCATTCATTTGGCTTTAAACTGATTTTTATGTTAAACGATGTTGGTTTAAAAAAAGAGACTAGTAAGGAAGAATGTATTAAATGATTATTGAATGATTTGAAAAGGAAAACCTTGACTGTCCTCCCCACCAAACCTCTTCAAGTGTTAAGCACTAGATACCAACTGTTTCTGCTTCCACCACACAATGTTACCCCCCAACCAAGCAGAGTTGGCATAAAAAAACATTGTTAAAGTTGAAGGAATACGCACTTACCTTTCTGCTGCTTTATATGACATTAAACCAGTGGCACAGTAGAATCTTTTGGAGCATTCCTCTGCATTGTTTTAATGTCTAAATGATGTGAAACCTCCTTATAGAGGTTACCTAATCCATGACCACAACAACTTTGCAAAACTTTCTTCCTTTTGACTTGCAACTCAGACTTAAATAAATGAGGAAATAATTCTAGGATCTCCTACCCAAAACAAACCAAACGACACCATAAGATGAGAAAAGTCATTTTAGCAATGCAAATGCATTGTCTAATCTTTCCACATTTGATTATACACTGTCACTTTATTAAATTGGACATTGTAGCATTTAAAGTTACGCTCAGTTATATTAAATCCATCATCAAAGTTTCAGACTCCGGTCATTTCAACTGATGGGTCTTTTTTTTTATATCCCCACACTATATTAACTGATTGGCTTAATATGACTCCCATCACTTTTTCCCAAATTGGTGTTATTCGTCTGTAAACCGCAATTTGATTATTTTCTTTTTAAAGTGAGCAACTCATAAAGCATCTATTTGCAAGGATTTCTGGAGGTAAAGTATCTGCCTTCTGATATTAAACATAAACTTGGAATATAACACAGGGAATGTCAAACATTTACTAGAAAATACCTTTTTGTGATACTGGTTGTCACCAGATGTTAAATCGAACTGGGTTTACATGTTTGTTGTTTTTAAGTTAGATCCATCTCCAGAAACTGCCAACATTTAGCACAGCAACTTCTTTGGTGGAAAAATTCCTATTTTTCTTTTCTTTTCTTTTTTTTTTGCACTGGACTTAAATAGATTTATTAATGAGCTCAATAATACAACTCAGAGAATTCTTTACTGATTTATAAATGTTATTTGTTGTGATGAAATCAATTTGCCTGTTTGAATAAAAGTGTTTCTACACTGAAGGTCCCAGCAGTAAGACTTTAGTTCACTGATATGGCATTGAGGTAAATCTAAGGCTTTTTTTGTCATTGAACTTCTTGTTAAGAAACATCTTTGTATTTCTAATATGTGATTATTTTACTTTTTTTTTTTGTCTGCAAGTGGTTTACTCAGTACCACATAAAATTTCACATTAAGTCTTGTTACTTCTGATTTTTTTTTCCAGTTTTTGATTCTTTGATATTCCAAAACCTTTTTGAGCAAAGCAGTTAATCATGCATTAGATTCTTCCCCATATGAACCTCATGAATAAAAATATCAGTGTTTTTGTTTTTTAAATTTTTTTAGTTTCATTGTTAATTGGTCTTATTTTGGACAGAAAAGCAAGAATTATGTGAAAAATATTGGAGCTTTGTCTATCTTACTTCCTGAATGGTTGAGGTCTTGAAACAATCAGATTGTTGTTTGTATGCTTCAAAGTCGGCTGCTGCTGAACACCAACAGTCTCAGACTCTAAACCTCTATGATGAAGATTGTTCCGGATTCCACAGAAATCTCACCGTCGCCCTGTTGTCTTACTGAATGTGATTCTCTGTGTGTTCATTTCTTTATCATATCAAAGATTTTCTTTGGAATGATAAAATGCTATTTATTTTTGTTTATGACAAAAAGAAATCATTTGCTGAACATGCTGTGCATTTCCAGGCTTTTTTTTGTTTCTGTAAATATTTTTTTTTTTACTTTTTTCTTTCGTTCTTCAGAATATAAATACAGTTTTGCTGTGTCATTTAAGTGTGAAATAAAAAAAATCATGATGGAACATCAGTGGCTCTTGTTGCAATTCATTTAGATGAATATTTTTGGTGAGAAAATGATAATTTTCAATTGCTTGAAATCGAGGAGAAGCTTGTTTTCTAATGGACGTTCTGCTCTGCATCACTCAGGTCTTTGTCCACTGCCATAGATCCAGGAATCACTTTCAGCCCATGCATAGCTCTTTCCACAGAGAAGAGGTGCATGATTTTCAGCAGGCAATACTTAGTTAGAAAACGCATAAAGGTACAAATTTGCAACAAAAAAAAGCACAAATTTTGGGTGTTGTCCAAACCCATAGAATAAGAAGAGTGTTTGTTGTCATGTTTTCAGGAGAATCCATCCAATCTGAGTGCTTTTAGGCAAACAGGGACCCTGCAGCATGTCAGAAGAAAGCTTCAGTTTGTTCCGACTGATGTGTAAGTTTGCCAGGAACAATTTGTAAAAAATTATACTCATTAAAATATTCTGAATGCATCTTTTTTTTTTCTTTTTTTCCAGGAGAAGGAAGGCAGTTGACAGAATTTAACAGCATGTTTTGTTTTCCTTCTTTTTGTTTTATTCCAAGTTAACAGTTCTTGTTAGTTCAAAATAATAGAAATTAGAAAATAGTTTTCTAATTTCATGTTTTTGTTTTTATGGCTAACAAATGAGATTTAAAAGCAATTTTGGAGTATTAAGTAAGGAAGTTCAATTTTCTGCAGTAAAAAAAAAAAACATTTAAATTGATAATTTAGAAGTTCAAGTTTACTTGTTTGTGGCATATTGTGTTGTTTTTTTGCCTGTTACCAGTGTTCTATTTGTAAATTTTTCTGTGTAATGCTTGATTTCTATTTCATATTTTAAACCATAAGAAAGAGTTCTAGCCAAACGGGGTCTTAAACTTCAAAAAATATGTATGGATATTTTTTTTATTCACACATTGAGTTTTATTTCATTTATTAAAGCTAGTCATGACTGGCATACTTTTTTTTTTTTTTACACATTTTCATTTCTAATGTTGCTTTTTTTTTAATCCACTGGCTTTACTTTACTAAATAACGAAGGCATAATTGGTGTTATTTCTTATTATTCATGTGGGGTTGTTTGTGCCACGCAGATTTGAGACGTTTTAAGTGTGGAACTATGGAAGTTGTAGTTTTTACATGTTTTGCTGCGACATTATGTTCTTGTTTACGGCGCCAAACCGCGCATGCGCAGTTTGATGACCTTCTTTGAGCAGCATGGCCGCTCGGGCGTTTACAAAAGGTTTGTAATAAAAAGAAACCTGTGAAAAATAAGTTCATTAAAACATTTTGTCCTAATTTGGATTTATTGTCCTATATTTTAAGTTTTGGTCCTATTCCGTAGTCGTTGTCGAGCAGGAAACGGGCTATTTTAGCGTAATAGTGCTTTTTTCCTCTGTTTTATGTCAAATATTCGGCATCTGTTTTTGGCTTCACGTTCAGGTTTGTTGGGGTTTCGGCATGTTGGAGCTGCCAAGGTTAAATTCTCCATCAATGGAGAGCACTTTGCCACTGCATCCTCCATTAAATCACCTGAAATTCAAATTCAGTCATTCACAGGTGAGTTGCTGTCTGCTAAGATTTGCTCTTTTTATGGGTCGTCTTCTGTTCAAACTGTCCCTAAATCAGTTTTCCTGTTTCCAGAGAAAATCCCTAATCCGCCACTTGAGAAACATGACCATTTCCGTTTGTCGGAGCTTTTCACCTTAAAGGACTTGTTTGATGCGAGGGTGCATCTTGGACACAAGAAAGGCTGCAGGCACAGGTCTGTATCCTTAGGATCTACTCATGAGCTGGAAAAGGTGCAGGCATTGATGCTCAGCACCAAATGGTGCTCTGTGATTAAATTAACAAATATATATGTTGGAGCAATAAACCTAAGAATATATGCTATTGCAATTAGATTGTATTTAAATGGAAAATGCAAGACTTGAACAAGATGTAGAAGAATACACAGTGGTGTCAAAAGTTCACACATTTGTTACTTAAGTAGAAGTATAGATACTGCAGTTTAAAAACATTCTAGTAAAAGTTGAAGTATCAACTTGACCTCTTTACTCAAGTAAAAGTGAAAAAGTATGTGCTCCAAAAACTACTTAAAGTATAAAGTAACCTTTTAAAAAAACAGCCAGATGCCACTATATGAATTTTAAATTCTTAAAGATAGGGCCAAGGTTGAGGGAGGTCTTGTTGGTCTCCATCTCCCGATACGCTCTCGCCTGTGTCCCACCTTTTAGACATTTCAACATATTTTTCTGAATCCGACATTGTAGCATGGCATAGACAATTCATGTTTGCAGTTTCAAGAACATCTGCCTGCTTCTTATGATTTCCTTTAGCTAACCAATGAGTGTTTGCGTTATATGACTCATCCAATTCCACTAGTTTTCACTAGATGTGGATGGCGCCAATGATCTGCATTGGATGGCGCACATGACGTGAAATAAATATTTATAACATTGAACCGAAGCCAAGAGTAACGAGTAACGTTTGTTTTTAAAATGTAAGGAATAGAAAGTACAGATACTTGTGGGAAAATGTAATCAGTAGAAGTCAAAAGTAGGAAGAAAAATAAGTAATGGAGTAAAGTATAGATACCTAAAAAGTTAAGTACATGAACAATGTATTTGTACTTCGTTACTTGACATCTCTGGAAATACAATTATGTAAATAAAGGCATAAAGAAAAACTGCAACGGGTTGAAATAAACCATACTATTATGTTTTTTATTGCATTCACAATAATAATAATTGAACTTTATTGATCTCACATTGGAGACATTTACCTCTGCATTTAACCCATCCCTTGGGGAGCAGTGGGCAGTCGTGCGGAGCCCGGGGAGCAGTGTGGGGTTATGGCTGCAGAGTGCAGACTGGGGGGATCTAACCAGATACTTGCAACTTACATTCCACACGCTTTCCTGTGCAGCTATGGTATTGATTGACTTTATTGATATCACAGTGGAGAAATGTACTTGTTACATCACCTCAGTTAGTCAAAAGAGAAGAAGTTGCCAAAAGAAGTAAAAGGTGCATTGGATATATACAGTATTTACAGTGCGCCCACATAACACAGTTTTTTTTTTTTTCTTATATCAGAAATAGATATTCAGTCAAACTAATATATATTAAAACGACTCGCCATAGTTTGTTGTTACCACAATAACCTTACGGGGAAAACTAGTTTACTGCTTGAATGGTAGTGGATGAATGTATCTATTCAGGGGCAATTGCCTGGCAACAGGAGAGGATAAAATATAAAAGCGTTCTTTAAACAGGTAGGACCTGTGTATCATCTCATAGGGATTAATCCTCATGTTGATTCTGTCTTCAATCACACACGAAATACTTAGAGGCTCTTTGCAGCCGCTTCCGATGTTATCATCCTCTTAAACAGCCATTATTAGTGGTTATTAGTCCCATAGAATGGCTTCAGATTGTGCCTCCTATCTACCACTAGGCTCAGTAGGTTATCACCAAAAAAATCCTAATCTCAACTCCGATTTTCTCAGGTGTTTAAATACATATTTGCAGCTGTATCCTACAGATAAATAGTTTAAAAATCATATATTTAAATCTGTTCTTTTTTTTTTTTTAGTTTTTTTTTTTAGATTGTCTTTCACAATGGACGTACAGTGATAATTTTAGACAGAGAACTTGCAAAATATCAGAGTGTTAAAATACTTATTTTCCTCTCTGTGTATGTATGGGTATATATATATATATATATATATATATATTAGGGTTGTCAAAAGTATCGAAACTCAAAAAAGTATCGATACTGAAACGTTGTATCCGGATACAATACTTGTTTTTAAAAGTATCGATACAGTGCTACCACCAGTGGCACCTAAGCAGTCATTCATCTAAAGTGCAGAATAGAGGACAATGCACATTCAGAACACGGTGTGATTGAATAATTCTGTGCACTTTTCAGTTTCAGAGTTTTTTTTTTGTAAGAGGTGCAGCTGCTGAGAATTATTTTTGTTTCTTAACTGGTTTGGCTAGTGTCATTGTTATGTGTGCAAAGCATAGCCAAGGAAGGAAAACTTAATTTTAATTTTATAAGTTTTTTATCAAGCTTGCTTAATATTGTGCACAGCATACAACCTTTATTGTATTTATTTATTGTATTTTATTTATTAATGAAAATATTTCTGTAGAATTTTGGTTGACAGAGACATTTTTGATTTATGCCCAATATTGAAGCGTGCTATACGCTGTAGGTCTAGATACGGCCGAGGCAGAGAGGAAGTGGGTGCGAGTTTGTCCGACAATGGAGGGACATGACGGTGAAAAATAGCGGGGATCCAGGTGGGAAAAGGTTTCCAGTTTTCTTGTGCACCTCGCTCTACCAGCTGGTGCATCTTCACGAGTTGTTTTCTGCAATTTCGGTCATAAAAACAAAACAAGCCGGCCTCCTGTCTGCGGCACTGTCTGCAATCAGATAGATTTTGGGAGAGGTGCAGCGGAGTTTCTGTGGAGGGGGCGGGGACGTCGACGCTCTGGAGCCGAGGTATTGAATTGCTCTCATTGCACTGATTTTGTGCAGTATTTTTTGATGCAAAGCCTTTAAGAATCTATAACTCAGTGGCATGATTATTTTTCAGTGAATGAGGTTTTAATAGGCCTAGGTGGAGTACAACTTTTCTACTTCTGTTATTTGCGGTTGTTTCTCAAATAAAATGCATAATGATATTACAGCTTTCATTGATTTATTTCAAATTTGAAACATTGTCCAGCCTGTATGTAAAAAAAACAAAAAAAAAAAAAAATGAACCAATTATTCGAATCTTATCGTGGTGAGTATCGAAAATAATCAAAACGTTGGGTCAGGACATAGATACTGAATCGAATTGCCATGACGGGTGTGATTTACACCACTAATATATATATATAATCAATACATATAAGCTTCATAGTGTGATTGTGTAATGGGTGTTCCCCATCTTGAATTATTACATTTAAGCTGCAAATCATGAATGACGAAAACGTGAGGATGTTTTGTATTTATAAAATGACAGCAATGGCCTTGTACAGCCACGTTATTTCTCCAAAAAGTTAATTTTTTAATTTAGAAGACTTGTTTTCCTTTTTGTGTTGCTGTTACGACTCTCTGTGTCCCTTTTTAAAGGCTCATGGAACCTTACCTGTACGACTGCAGTTTAGACTATGATATCCTTGATCTGGACAAAACGGAGGAGCACCTTCGGCTGGCTCTGAACGTCACGGCACAAACGGCATATCGGGGCGGCATCATCCTCTTCGTCAGCCGCCGCCGCCAGTTCTGCCACCTGGTGGAGACCACAGCCAAGGAGTGTGGGGAGTACGCGCACACACGGTACTGGCAGGGGGGCCTCCTTACCAACGCTCACATCCAGTACGGCCAAGGGGTGCGCTTGCCCGACCTCATCATCTTCCTCTCCACTCTGAACAACGTGTTCCAGCAGCATGTGGCCATCAGAGACGCTGCCAAGATGAACATTCCCACAATAGGAGTGGTGGACTCAAACTGTAACCCCAGCTCGATTACATACCCGGTACCAGGAAACGATGACACTCCGGTTGCCATGGAGCTCTACTGCCGCTTGTTCAAGATGAGCATCAACAGAGCCAAGGACAAACGGAGACAGATGGAGCTCCTTCAGGGCCTGTCTGAACCCTCATCATCCAGCTCATAAGATGCCACCAAGAGATGTTTAAAACACTGCAGCTATAGTTGGACTTTATCCTCTGTTGCAAATCATTTGGGTTTAAAGAGAACTCTGTATATGGCTCATTAAAAATAAATCTTGTTACTTTAAAAAGAGCTCTTTTATTAATATTTTACATATGACATCTATATATCTATATATATATATATATATTTTTTTTTTTTCTCTCAGTGCTTCAGTTATTGGTGTTTAGTTTTATTAGAGAACAAATACCAGGTGACATTACAGTAACAGTTAATATAAGGGAGGGAAAAAAAGTATTTTGCGGTGAAGTTCATAAACTAAGTATTGTTTGGAGTGATTAAGATGTTGGAAATAAATAAATATTGTTGTGTGGTTCTGTTACAGCTCTTAATTGAGCAGATGAGGTCTAATTTACAAAAACCCTTTTTAAAACTAGTTTCTTGAAATTATTTTGAGCTATGATGATTTTTAGGCAAGAGTTTTTTTTCCAAGTTTGGTAAGTAGGCAGCATAAGAGCCAACTCCTGTTTTTCAGGGATTTAGGGATGGAATTAAGGAGTAGTTTGATCAAGTTGAGAGATGTTCAGTGAAGAAACTCGGGACTAAAGACGAGGCTTTCAATTCTGAAAAACAACATCCACGCACGATGATGGCAGTGTGAGATTTTATGCATTTCTGTATAAAAAGAAACAAATGCAGCTCGATTTGAGATCAATAGATAAGAAATTGAAACTTGGAAATATTCGTAGCTTCTGCACACTTTCTCCGTTTTTTGGATCAAGGACTTTTAACCTTGGAATTTCTCTCACCTCTATGTGATAAAAAGATGTTCTGTGATTTCAAAACTAGGCTTTACTTTCATAGAGAAATTACTCTGGGATAACTGCTGCTTAGTTTTTTTTTTTGTCTTCTTAATAAAGCCTGTCACTGGAAAATAATTGCTTAAATTTAGCCTTGTTTTGCTGGAGTTTTCTTTCCTCTTAAAGGTTAAGGGATTCATCTTATTCCAAGACGGTGCAGACAGCAGACAAATTTCCAGGAGGAGTGATTGCAGCAAATCAATGACTTAACAAACTGGGTTTCCTTAATTAAAAGGATTTTTAGAATGGATTTAATAAGTAGAATTGAGAGCATTGTTTATAAGCTTCTTTAGGAAGAGATGAATTGATTTATCTCTGTATGTCTGCAGTTTAATGACCTGATTTCAGTAACACTGCAGACACTTATATAGCATAAAAATACACAGCAAAAGGGATAGTTTTATGATTTAAGGTAAGGAATTCCTCCATCTCTGTTTAAAGTAACAGTTTAAGATGTTGGCTTAATCAAGATGTAAATATTTAATCCCAAATTCATGTTTTGTTTGTTTTTTTTTTATAAACAGCCTTTTCCATTTAAAACAATTTGTTTTTTGCTAGTTCATAATTACAACATAAGCGTAAATATGTAATTTATTTACAGTGCCTCATTTCTGATCATTACTCCAAATTTAAGAGTTTGATTACTCAAAGTGCAACTAACTTTAAGCTTTATTCATGCTTGTTCTGTTCCATTAACATTATACCAACATGTTTCCATTTACTTTCCTTTATTAGAATAAAATGTCATTGATTTATGTCAGTTTTTAAATATAAGTACAAACTGCGACCTAGCGCGGGATTTTACACTTTTTTGGTTGCTTCCGGCTTCCGTAGTTAGTAAGACTCTCCTGCAGACACCAGGGGGAAGGATGGCGTGGTGAGTTCGCTCAATAAACGTGGTTGTAAAATAAAATGAACTTAGTGGTTTTAACAATCGCAGGTTTGCATGCGAAATTTTAATCACGTCACTTGCAGGAATAAGCTTAAATACCAACTTTAGACCTGAACACGCTCCTATAAAAGCACGAGAGAATCTTATATTTGCAGTTTGCATTTGGCTGTTTAATATGTTTATAAGTTCTCGGGTTTGATTTACATAGGAAGGTTAAAAGTCGACGCTTTATGCATTATTTAGTTTTCTGATAAAATAGGTCAGCTGTTGCCAACCACGTGGTCAACAGGTTGTTTATCCTGTTCCCTTTTATGTGAACTTTATACCTTTTTTAAATATATATATATAACGATATATATACAAGCCACCTAAAAATGTTGACTCATCCCAGCTGGTAGATTGTTGCATTATTCAGCAGCAGTGTGTGCGATCACTTGTAGGCGTCATGAGGCTGCTAACTGTGCTAATTATAGATGTATGTGAACAGATATACGGTATGCAAAGAAGTTCCACCCTGTGCCTCTAAAATAGAGGAAATGAAACTCTCCCCAGTGTTTATCAGAGATCTCTATAAAATATTTCCATTTTCTAGCTGCATGTTCTCCTTTTACATAATGTGACAACGATTAAGTAATGAATCCAAAGGGGTGAAATAGAAAATCATGTCTAGATTACATTACAAAACTGTCCTCATGAAAACATAAAACAGGAAAAGCATGACGTTTCACATCAGTAACAGGTTCATAATGAGTTAGTATCTCTTCCATTGTAGTGATTTTTATATATGTGTATATAGATATGTTATAGCAAAGCAAACCATCATATGTAACTAGTTGAAATAATTAATGGAATGGATAGAAAGAGTTTATTAAGGCATTTGTTTTAAAGGAATAACTTCCTTTTTATAATAAGTCCATCATGCTCACTAATAATGCATTATGGCTAAAACAATGATACAGGCGAGGACGTTAGAATCTAATGAATGCCAGTTTTAAGTAAGATTTTCCTGTCTAAAGATTTTTTTAGATTACAAGAATAAAGCTTAATATATTAGAAGTGTATATGTGGTTGTATGGTTAGTTTCTTGCAGGTTTGTCTTCTTACCCTGCATTTAGCATCATCAGTTTTCCCTAACTTCTCTTAATTTGCTTCCCTGTCCTTGTTTTACCACAGAAAGGTGTTCATCCATGGACATTAAGTTTTATTTATGGTATTTGAGTAAATGGGACTGAATTATAATTTTTTCGTTCCTTTAAATTAGTTATTTCAAAATTTTGTTCTCATCCATCACATTAACCGTCTAATAAAATCCATCTAGGTCAGTGGTTGTAATGTTAAGGTGCAAGATGTGGAAGTAATTTTTCTGAAGGAGAAAATGTCTCATTCTTTTTGTTTTTCTTCATGCAGGAAAATGTGTGGTAAGCTGATGCATCGCTTTACCCCCAAGGGATCCACTGATGTCACATGACTGCTTTTCATTGAGCAGTAAGTTACTTCACTCCCAGCTTGTGGTCAAAAAACTGCCTCTCTATAGTCACAGGAGCTACTGTTGCCCCTTGAGACGCAGCTTGGCCCTAAAAGTGGCTCTGCTGGGCATTAGGTGGGCAGAAAGTAAACTGGCTCACGATAGCTTAATTTCCACTGTTAAGTGGGCTTTGAGTATGGAACCGGGCCGGATAACCACAGCTGTTAGACCCAAAATAGTAGATGACTGTAATCAACCTGGATGCATCTTTAATGCATGCACGCTTACCTTAAATATATATTTTTTTTTGCCCTGTTGTAATTTTCTATTTAATTTCAAGTTAAATATAAAGCCCTCTTATGAAAGTAAAAATTAAGTTGTTTAATTATTTTCCTCTCTTAAAGGTTTTAGTTGTTGTGCAGAAGCAGAAATTAATCATTTGGTAAAAACCAAGGCCAGAGGATGAGCAGGAAGAGTAAGAACTTCAGATTTAACTTGTTGACATAAACAGAACATACAGGTGCTGGTCATAAAATTAGAATATCATGAAAAAGTAGATTGATTTCAGTAATTCCATTTAAAAAGTGAAACTTGTATATTATATTCATACATTACATACAAACTCATATATTTCAGATGTTTATTTTGTTTAATTTTGATGATTACAAATGACAACAAATGAAAATCTCAAATTCATCATATCAGAAAATTAGAATATTACTGAAGACCAATAAAAACAAAGGATTTATAGAAATGTTGGCCAACTGAAAAGTATGAACATGAAAAGTATGAGCATGTACAGCACTCAGTATTTAGTTGGGCCTCCTTTGGCCTGTATTACTGCAGCAATGCGGCGTGGCATGGAGTCGATCAGTCTGTGGCACTGCTCAGGTGTTATGATAGCCCAGGTTGCTCTAATAGTGGCTTTTAGCTCTTCTGAATTGTTGGGTCTGGTGTATTGCATCTTCTTCTTCACAATACCCCATAGATTTTCTATGGGGTTAAGGTCAGGAGAGTTTGCTGGCCAATTAAGAACAGGGATACCATGGTCCTTCAACCAGGTACTGGTAGCTTTGGCACTGTGTGCAGGTGCCAAGTCCTGTTGGAAAATGAAATCTGCATCTCCAAAAAGTTGGTCAGCTGCAGGAAGCATGAAGTGCTCTAAAACTTCCTGGTATGTGGCTGCGTTGACCCTGGACCTCAGAAAACACAATGGACCAACACCAGCAGATGACATGGCACCCCAAACCATCACTGACTGTGGAAACTTTACACTGGACTTCAAGCAACGTGGATGAAGTGCCTCTCTTCTTTTCCTCCAGACTCTGGGACCTTGATTTCCAAAGGAAATGCAAAATTTACTTTCATCAGAGAACATGACTTTGGACCACTCACCAGCAGTCCAGTCCTGTTTCTCTTTAGCCCAGGCAAGACGCTTCTGACGCTGTCTGTGGTTCAAGAGTGGCTTGACACAAGGAATGCGACAGCAGAAACCCATGTCTTTCATACGTCTGTGTGTGGTGGTTCTTGAAGCACTCACTCCAGCTGCAGTCCACTCTTTGTGAATCTCCCCCACATTTTTGAATGGGTTTTGTTTCACAATCCTCTCCAGGGTGCGGTTATCTCTCTTGCTTGTACACTTTTTTCGACCACATCTTTTCCTTCCCTTCGCCTCTCTATTAATGTGCTTGGACACTGAGCTCTGTGAACAGCCAGCCTCTTTAGCGATGACCTTTTGTGTCTTGCCCTCCTTGTGCAAGGTGTCGATGGTCGTCTTTTGGACAACTGTCAAGTCAGCAGTCTTCCCCATGATTGTGTAGCCTATAGAACTAGACTGAAAGACCATTTAAAGGCTTTTGCAGGTGGTTTGAGTTAATTAGCTGATTAGAGTGTGGCACCAGGGGCCATCAATTTTGAACCTTTTCACAATATTCTAATTTTCTGATATGATGAATTTGAGATTTTCATTTGTTGTCATTTGTAATCATCAAAATTAAACAAAATAAACATCTGAAATATATGAGTTTGTATGTAATGTATGAATATAATATACAAGTTTCACCTTTTAAATGGAATTACTGAAATCAATCTACTTTTTCATGATATTCTAATTTTATGACCAGCACCTGTACTTGTGAATATGGGTCAGTGAAAGGTGAAGGACAGAGGTTCAACATCTTACTTTTTCTTTTTTCTTCTGTCTCCATAGATGCGCTTCCAGCTGCATGATCGTTCTGGTGAGAGTCATTTGAAGAACAGAAGCAGAGCTTTTTTTTTATCAGTGGAAAGAGGTTGTATAAAATGAATGTTTTGCATCTTGATTGTGTAACAGAAATGAAACTTAAAAATAAAACAAATTTTTAACAATGTCTTTGTTTTTATTCTATCATATGCAAGCATCAAACATCAGCTACCACTTTTGAAGTATGTGTTTGTATGTGAAAGACACATTTCCTTAAAATAGGGAAAACTTAAAATCTAAAACATATTTAGTGCAGATCACTAATACAGGGTTAGTTTTCAGTTTAATCTAGTTTAAAACTTGTCTTCTTGATAAAATCTTTAATATAATTTAATGCTAATGGCTTAGCCCTGGTTCAAAGTGGCCTATGAAATCAATTTTAATAGCAGCAAACATTAAACCAGCCAAAACGCCTTATTGTACAGGTGCTGGTCATAAAATTAGAATATCATGAAAAAGTAGATTGATTTCAGTAATTCCATTTAAAAAGTGAAACTTGTATATTATATTCATACATTACATACAAACTCATATATTTCAGATGTTTATTTTGTTTAATTTTGATGATTACAAATGACAACAAATGAAAATCTCAAATTCATCATATCAGAAAATTAGAATATTGTGAAAAGGTTCAAAATTGATGGCCCCTGGTGCCACACTCTAATCAGCTAATTAACTCAAACCACCTGCAAAAGCCTTTAAATGGTCTTTCAGTCTAGTTCTATAGGCTACACAATCATGGGGAAGACTGCTGACTTGACAGTTGTCCAAAAGACGACCATCGACACCTTGCACAAGGAGGGCAAGACACAAAAGGTCATCGCTAAAGAGGCTGGCTGTTCACAGAGCTCAGTGTCCAAGCACATTAATAGAGAGGCGAAGGGAAGGAAAAGATGTGGTCGAAAAAAGTGTACAAGCAAGAGAGATAACCGCACCCTGGAGAGGATTGTGAAACAAAACCCCTTCAAAATGTGGGGGAGATTCACAAAGAGTGGACTGCAGCTGGAGTGAGTGCTTCAAGAACCACCACACACAGACGTATGAAAGACATGGGTTTCTGCTGTCGCATTCCTTGTGTCAAGCCACTCTTGAACCACAGACAGCGTCAGAAGCGTCTTGCCTGGGCTAAAGAGAAACAGGACTGGACTGCTGGTGAGTGGTCCAAAGTCATGTTCTCTGATGAAAGTAAATTTTGCATTTCCTTTGGAAATCAAGGTCCCAGAGTCTGGAGGAAAAGAAGAGAGGCACTTCATCCACGTTGCTTGAAGTCCAGTGTAAAGTTTCCACAGTCAGTGATGGTTTGGGGTGCCATGTCATCTGCTGGTGTTGGTCCATTGTGTTTTCTGAGGTCCAGGGTCAACGCAGCCACATACCAGGAAGTTTTAGAGCACTTCATGCTTCCTGCAGCTGACCAACTTTTTGGAGATGCAGATTTCATTTTCCAACAGGACTTGGCACCTGCACACAGTGCCAAAGCTACCAGTACCTGGTTGAAGGACCATGGTATCCCTGTTCTTAATTGGCCAGCAAACTCTCCTGACCTTAACCCCATAGAAAATTTATGGGGTATTGTGAAGAAGAAGATGCAATACACCAGACCCAACAATTCAGAAGAGCTAAAAGCCACTATTAGAGCAACCTGGGCTATCATAACACCTGAGCAGTGCCACAGACTGATCGACTCCATGCCACGCCGCATTGCTGCAGTAATACAGGCCAAAGGAGGCCCAACTAAATACTGAGTGCTGTACATGCTCATACTTTTCATGTTCATACTTTTCAGTTGGCCAACATTTCTATAAATCCTTTGTTTTTATTGGTCTTCAGTAATATTCTAATTTTCTGATATGATGAATTTGAGATTTTCATTTGTTGTCATTTGTAATCATCAAAATTAAACAAAATAAACATCTGAAATATATGAGTTTGTATGTAATGTATGAATATAATATACAAGTTTCACTTTTTAAATGGAATTACTGAAATCAATCTACTTTTTCATGATATTCTAATTTTATGACCAGCACCTGTACATCCTTTTCCTTACCTGCTCAATACTTTTTCACCTCTACCCTTCCACTTCATTACATTTAACTATTCATAGACTTTGAATTCTTTGTATGTGTGAATATATTTGGTTCTTGCTCACTTGTGGGTTGACCGATCTCAATAGAAATGTCATAAATCTATAATAAGTCCAATTTTACTCTCTAGATTTACCATTGAGATGGAGGCAGAGGGTGCTCCTATTTTATAAAACCTGTAATAGAAAGTGTTTAGGGCAGGGGTGCTCAGGTCCTGTAACTTCTAGATGCAGCTCTGAATCTAAAAGGTTATTACCCTCATTTATCAGCAGAGGCATGCTAACGAGCCCCTCGTTTGATTCCGGTGTTAAAAAATAGGGTGCATAAAAAAGCTGTAGGATAGTAGCTCTTGAGGACTGCACTTGAGCACGGGTCTCTGCTGTAGCAGATATCTCTCTTGAGGTCTTCTCTTAGGTTAAACATGTTTATGTTGGCGCTAACGGCTAGTCTGAACAGCCTACCTCATGTCCAAAGTTTCATACCAGAGAACCATATGGTTGTTCAAGCTCGAGAACAAGGGAGACTAGAATAGAATAACATTTTATTGATCTCACAATGGAGAAATTCACATGTGACATCGGCTCTCATACACAACAGAAGGAGTACATACAGTGGATGGTAAAAAAAAAAAAAAAAAGCAAGGGATTTAAGGTGACATACTTTCTTATTTTCTTTAGTCCAACTTTTTTTAATATTCTTTTCTGTTTCTGCATTTTCTTTATTTTTTTTCCTACTTCCTTTGATTCTGTTTTATTTTTTCTATATTTTAATCATGTAAAGCACTTTGCATTGTCTTTGTACTGAATTGTGCCATACAAATAAATTTGCCTTGCCTTGCCTTATATATAGCCTACAGTATCTCATGTATGGTAAAGTGGTGGCAGGTAAAGTGCGGTTTTGTTTGACAGATAAATAGTATAACAGGGACCCATCCATATATGTAACTAAGAAGAAATGATAAAGCCTTCTGTATCATGATAAATGCTATCTAATGTGAAGGTGGTGTATAGGAATCAAACATTTACTTGAAACACAATATTTGTATTCCTTTAAAAAATCTTTATTACTTTGAACCAGTAATGATAAAATAAGAGAAGGCATAGCTCCACATCTGGTCGTCTTTGGCTTGAGACACAATTTATTTTTCTCTATATACTGTAGCTTTCTGTGGTAAACAAGACAGTACTGTAAAAGGAACAGTTTTGTGAAGAACCAGTGGAAATAAAAAAAAGAATAATTCTGTGTATTATTTTTATCGTGATTGACTCTTTTTTTCTAAGTTGTGGGTTAGCGTTTTTTAGAAAAAACATCTGCTTCCCCAAATGGAAGAGAAGAGCAGAAATGTTTACAGTGTGCAAGTTTTAATCAAAACCTCTAAACAGAACTGTTTTGTGACAGACCTGAGCTATCCTAAACAGAGGTCAGCTCAGGTGTTTGCTGAAGGTTTGGCTTTTTAAGCTTTCTGTTTTTGCCAGAAAATAGTCTATGGTTTATTTTTCCACAACCTGAGCTTAGTTTTACATCTGGGACTTAAAATGTGGTAAGTGCAGTTGGCCCTGAATTATTTACACCTCTGGAAGAACTAGGTCTACAGTTATATTTTAATTCTACCAACATGTTTCATATTAAAGTTCTGAATTAGCCCAGCCAGAGTCTTGAATCTGATAAGAGGAAACATTAAGAAATATGGTCAACAATAAGATTGTTTCATGTAATTAACTATGGTACTGTAAGTTGCACGTCTCACTTAGATTGAATAAAAAATAGTAAATTGGGAAATTTCCTATTAGGAACTAATGATATCTTTTAGGGATATAAATAGTTTTAGTCCTAACTCTTCAGGTTGTGAAGTTACATTAATAAAGTTTTATTACAGGTCATCATCCTGCCTTTATTTTATCAAATAATAGCAACTTTTTTGCATTTTTTCTGTCCTTTCCTTGGCATTATTTTCGGCGTTATTTTAATACATTCAAAACAAGAACTTTGGGAGAAGGTTGAATCATAGCTGGAATTCATGTCTCATAATTTTGGACTCCTAAATCAATAACATTCTGAAAACATTTAACTCTTGCCATAGATTTTTGTGTTCTTTCTCTGCATAAAATCAAATTATTCCCTGTCTTTAAACTTGTAAATGGTACCTTTTTTTTTGCTTCAAGATCATGCATTTTTTTCAGTGGATTTAAAGCTACTGGAATCTACACTGAAATATTAAAACCTTTTTTTTAAGTAATGCAGTTCAAAAAGTAAAACTTTATATTTGATGTGGAGAAATATTTTTCAGCATTTCTGTTCATTTAGATTATAGTTGAGAGCTAATAAAGAGCTTATTGTTAACCTAAACTATTGTTAATCTGCTGACATGGAAGTTGTTCATTTGTGCTCCAGAAGGGGCACAAGCCATAAAAAGTGAATGGCTAAAGGAGCTGGCTGTTTAGAATAAGTAAGATAAAAACAGAAACCATATAAATAACAGTGATCTTATCCTTTAGAGGGGTTTTACGTAAAGTCAGAATTCTGAGAAAAAATCAGAATTCTGAGATTAAAGTCAGAATTCTGAGATAAGGTCAGAATTCTGGAAAAAAGTCTGAATTCTGAGATTAAAGTCAGAATTCTGACTTTTTCCCCATACTACAGTGAAATAAAATTTTAAAAATCAGTTAACTTTTATTTTTTTTTCAGTGGCCCTAATCCTCTTCCGTATAGTTCCTATGCTCCACTTATCTGGAACAAACTTCCAGAAAACTGTAAAAGTGCAGGAAGCCTGAGTTCCTTTAAATCAAGACTAAAAACACATTTGTTTAGGATTGCCTTCGACTGTTATAGTTAAACAGTTCAATTGAAACATCATTAGTTCAACTTTTTTATTTTCTTGAGTCCAACTGTTTTTAATATTCTTTTTCGTTTTTGCATTTTTTATTTATTTATTTTCCTACTTGCTTTGATTCTGTTTTATTTTTCCTATACTTTAATCACGTAAAGTAGCCTACTTTGCATTGTCTTTGTACTGAATTGTGCTATACAAATACAGGTGCTGGTCATAAAATTAGAATATCATGAAAAAGTAGATTGATTTCAGTAATTCCATTTAAAAAGTGAAACTTGTATATTATATTCATATATTACATACAAACTCATATATTTCAGATGTTTATTTTGTTTAATTTTGATGATTACAAATGACAACAAATGAAAATCTCAAATTCATCATATCAGAAAATTAGAATATTACTGAAGACCAATAAAAACAAAGGATTTATAGAAATGTTGGCCAACTGAAAAGTATGAACATGAAAAGTATGAGCATGTACAGCACTCAGTATTTAGTTGGGCCTCCTTTGGCCTGTATTACTGCAGCAATGCGGCGTGGCATGGAGTCGATCAGTCTGTGGCACTGCTCAGGTGTTATGATAGCCCAGGTTGCTCTAATAGTGGCTTTTAGCTCTTCTGAATTGTTGGGTCTGGTGTATTGCATCTTCTTCTTCACAATACCCCATAGATTTTCTATGGGGTTAAGGTCAGGAGAGTTTGCTGGCCAATTAAGAACAGGGATACCATGGTCCTTCAACCAGGTACTGGTAGCTTTGGCACTGTGTGCAGGTGCCAAGTCCTGTTGGAAAATGAAATCTGCATCTCCAAAAAGTTGGTCAGCTGCAGGAAGCATGAAGTGCTCTAAAACTTCCTGGTATGTGGCTGCGTTGACCCTGGACCTCAGAAAACACAATGGACCAACACCAGCAGATGACATGGCACCCCAAACCATCACTGACTGTGGAAACTTTACACTGGACTTCAAGCAACGTGGATAAGGTGCCTCTCTTCTTTTCCTCCAGACTCTGGGACCTTGATTTCCAAAGGAAATGCAAAATTTACTTTCATCAGAGAACATGACTTTGGACCACTCACCAGCAGTCCAGTCCTGTTTCTCTTTAGCCCAGGCAAGACGCTTCTGACGCTGTCTGTGGTTCAAGAGTGGCTTGACACAAGGAATGCGACAGCAGAAACCCATGTCTTTCATACGTCTGTGTGTGGTGGTTCTTGAAGCACTCACTCCAGCTGCAGTCCACTCTTTGTGAATCTCCCCCACATTTTTGAATGGGTTTTGTTTCACAATCCTCTCCAGGGTGCGGTTATCTCTCTTGCTTGTACACTTTTTTCGACCACATCTTTTCCTTCCCTTCGCCTCTCTATTAATGTGCTTGGACACTGAGCTCTGTGAACAGCCAGCCTCTTTAGCGATGACCTTTTGTGTCTTGCCCTCCTTGTGCAAGGTGTCGATGGTCGTCTTTTGGACAACTGTCAAGTCAGCAGTCTTCCCCATGATTGTGTAGCCTATAGAACTAGACTGAAAGACCATTTAAAGGCTTTTGCAGGTGGTTTGAGTTAATTAGCTGATTAGAGTGTGGCACCAGGGGCCATCAATTTTGAACCTTTTCACAATATTCTAATTTTCTGATATGATGAATTTGAGATTTTCATTTGTTGTCATTTGTAATCATCAAAATTAAACAAAATAAACATCTGAAATATATGAGTTTGTATGTAATGTATGAATATAATATACAAGTTTCACTTTTTAAATGGAATTACTGAAATCAATCTACTTTTTCATGATATTCTAATTTTATGACCAGCACCTGTAAATGTGCCTTGCCTTGGCATTAAAGGTTAGGAAGCTCTCCTTAAAGTGTCGGCGGACATTTAATCCAGCTGACTCCTCTCCCTTTAAAGGATCGCAGGGGCTGGGCTGGGAGACAGAGCGCACTGCCTGCATCATTGTTTCTCTATTGATGGGATGAGGAGCAGCCTGGCATCACATTAAATCAGCGTTTCTGAAAGCGAATGATGATGTTGTTGGATATTTCCTTGTGAGGCTGAAATCCCTCCTTTTCAAGGATGCGCTCCTTTCTTTTCTCCCCATCTGAAGCGAGTGATGTCTGTTAGAGTCAGTAGGTAGATCCCATCTGAAAGCAGCCTAAAATGCCTGATCATTTGGAAGGGGACCGCCTGCCGTGGGGTGCGGTGAGGATGTGATCTTTACCGGGATTTCCGCTTTCTGGCTCCGCTGTCTCCTCTCCGCCGCTCAGGATGCCCAGGGCTCTGCGGAGACTGCTGCATGTGATGCTCTTCTGCCCGCTGTCCAAAGGCCTGCAGGTAGGGCTGCACACATAATCTGACGATGTTGCCTGTTTCAAACGATCTGGATTCAAATCACACGCAAGTCCTCCCATTTAAACAGAAGCGAATACAGGAGGAAAGAAAGGGAAAGATTAATAGAGATTATGGTGCAGAAAATCTCATCTTCATTTAATAAACTGAGCAGATTCAAACTAATATAGGTGAATTCACAATTTGTAACAATATTTACTTAGAAATAAAGCTGAGACTTGTCATTCCTGCATTAGTTAGTATAAAATGCTACATTCAATTCAATTCAGTTTATTTATATAGGGTCAATTCACAACACATGTCATCTTAAGACACCAGAGGCGTAGCCAGAAATTCTTTAATAAGGGTGGCCAGGCAGTAACCAATATACACTGAGGGGTGGACAAAAGTAGATAGGCACCAGAACCTCTGGGTGAATCTACACTGTTCCAACAGTAAAATTAACGAGCTAAACATCTATATTTTCTAAATAAAGACAAACTATACTTTCCTACAGCGTTTGCTAACAAATAGATGCATATATTTAAACATCCTTCTAGATAAAAGGTATATTGGATAAAATACTTCGAGGTTTGCCTTCTGGAGCGAACATCTTTTCCATCGTCATTACTTGCCTACTTTTATCAATATCATTCTACATTAAATTAAAAATTAAAAAGTACTTATATCTACATTGATGTGTAATTTAAAGGGTTTTTATTAAAATAGTTATTTACAGTATCTATGATTTCACTGAAGACACTTAGATGACTTGCAGAGACACATTTTCTCTCTATGGCAATAACACAATCTAGTTCTGAAAGAGCAGGAATTCTAAACTAATCCTCTCTAATGTTGGTATATTGATGTAGATAATTAGCCACAGTGTTTTTGTTGTCAAGTAATTATTAATGTATATAAAATTAAAATGTTTTGAATATTCTACTTGAGAGAAAAAAATGGTAGGGGTGGCCATGGCCACCCCTGGCGCCCCATCTAGCTCTGCCCATGCTTTACAGTTCACCAGATCATACAGTCAAATTGATTCAAAGTTTTCTATCTAAGGAAAACCAGCTGATTGCATTGATACATTGACTCCAAGGCAATCCTTGTAGCATGCTTGTAGCGACAGTGGAGAGGAAAAAACTCCCTTTTAACAGGAAGAAACCTCCAGCAGAACCAGGCTCAGTGTGAGCGGCTATCTACTGAAAGGCTGGTTATTCTCCCGCAGCAGTGTGTCACAGTGAGCTTGTCGCAGGTATGACGCAGACATTTTGGATTTATGCTCTGCACTATTTTTATTCCACGCCACAACGCAAAAGGGGAAAATTACAAACTAGCTGTCGGTCTAGATACGGCCGAGGCGGTCAGGAAATGGGGGAAGGTTCGTCAGACTATGGAGGGAAATGAGGGCGAAAAAGAGCGGGGATCCTGGTGGAAAAAGGGTCTCAGCGTTCTCGTGCACCTCGCTCTTTTAGCTGGTCCAACTTCACTAGTCGTTTTCTGCAATCGCGGTCATACAAACAAAAGAAGCCAGTAAGGTACCACACAGGAAATATACATAGTGTAGAGCGGATGTAGAATTGACCAATCAGAGGCCTCCTGTCTGCGGTACTGTTTGTGGTCACCTACAATTTTGGAAAGGTGAAGCAGAGTATATCCGGATTGGGCGGGGGCGTCTGCGTTTACAGCAACACGCACGCAGATGACCTAGTTTCGAAGTATAAATCAGCCTTGAGGCCGACTGAGGTTCAACGAGACAGAAGCAGAGATATATTTAAATCCAGTACAACAAAGGCCTTCGGAAGTTATTTACTGAGAAGACTTATATTTCAACATAATTATAAAGACATCTATGTGAAAACCTCACAGATTTGGTGGAGAACATATAATCTTTTGGAGAACATTAGGGGAAAATTATGTTATAAAACAAACAAGTTTTGAACAACAGAAAATATGCAAAGATGGCCATTCGCCTGAAATTAGAGGGAGGAGAAAAGAAAATATTTATTCAGAGAACCAGCAAGGAGATAAGTGGAAGAGTTCCAGAGATTAACAGCTCAGGTGGCAAAGCATGTTGGCTGCTATCTGTACTCCACACATTTTGCAATAATTTGAGTTGCTAAAAGAAATTCAACATGGAAGCTATAAAAGTCTAGTTTGCATTTTGCCTTTGTGGGGGAAACATCAAGCATCTGGAAAAAGTGTTCTTGCTTTTAAAGCAATTTTTTATTTTTTAAATATATTGAGCAGGAAAACTAACACTTTGTATCACCCTGAACCAGAGGTGTCAAGTAACGAAGTACAAATACTTTGTTACTGTACTTAAGTACACTTTTAAGGTATCTATACTTTACTCCATTACTTATTTTTCTTCCTACTTCTGACTTCTACTCATTACATTTTCACACCAGTATCTGTACTTTCTATTCCTTACATTTTTAAAACAAACGTTACTCGCGTTACTCTTGGCTTCAGTTTAATGTTTCAAAATATTTATTTCCCATCATGTGCTCAATCCAATGCAGATCATTGGCTCCATCCACATCTAATGAAAATTAGTGTAATTGGATGAGTCATATAACGCAAACACTCATTGGTTAGCTAAAGTAAATCATCAGAAGCAAGCAGGTGTTCTTCAAACTGCAAACATGAATTGTCTATGCCATGCTACAATGTGGGATTCAGAAAAAGATGTTGAAATGTCTGAAAGGTCGGATACAGGCGAGAGCGTATCAGGAGACGGAGACCAACAAGACCTCCCTCATCCTTGGCCCTATCTGAAAGATTTTTCAAAATAGTTGTAAAATTGAGCTTTCAATTCATATAGCGGCTGGTTTTTTAAAGGTTACTTTATACTTTTATACTTTGAGTAGTTTTTGGAGCACATACTTTTTCACTTCTACTTGAGTAAAGAGGTCAAGTTGATACTTTTACCAGAGTGTTTTTCAACTGAAGTATCTATACTTCTACTTAAGTAACAAATGTGTGTACTTTTGACACCAAAGCCCTGAACACACTGTACCCAGGTTGAAACATAGTGGTGGCAGTACCATGCAGGAAGCATGCTTTAAATCAGTAGGGACTATGAAGCCTATCAGAACCGACTCAAGAATATGGCCAGTGTAGGATTTAATGAAATGGTTTACATCAAACCGTATTCAAGTGTTAGAGTGGACTAATCAAAGTTCACACCTGAATTTAACTGAGAAGTAAGAACTAACATTAACAGATCAGAATGAGTTTGAGCTATTTTTAAGGAAAAACTGGAAAAAAGGCTTTTGTCTTGATATGAAAAGCTGGTAGAGTTACCTAAAAGCACATGCAGCCATAACTGCAGGGAAGAGTTGTTGTACATATTGTTGCATGAGGAGGAATGCAACAAATGCATAACACATTATTGGATTTTTTTATTTGTAAAACAATCCATCCATCCATTTTCTGTCAAACTTATCCCAAGCGGGGTCCACAAGGGATGCTGGTGCCTATCTCCAGCTGTCTACAGGCGAAAGGTGGGGTACACCCTGGACAGGTCGCCAGTCCATCGCAGGGCAACACACAGACAAACCAGACAAACAACCATTCATGCACCCACTCACACCTAAGGAGAATTTAGAGAAGCCAATTAACCAAACAGTCATGGACTGTGGGAGGAAGCCGAAGTACTTGGAGAGAACCCACGCAAGCTCAGGGAGAACATGCAAACTCCATGCAGAAAGACCCCGGGCCGGGAATCGACCCCAGAACTTTCTTGCTGAAAGGGAGCAGTGCTACCACACTATATACGTATATAAAAAATACATATATATATATATATATATATATATATATATATAAAACAATATATAAAAAAATGCTTCCACTTCTCTTTGATGTGCAACTTTGTTTAAAATATTCAGTAATAACATGGTGGATTCTTAGATGAGTTTTGAAAATGTTTACTTCTGCAAGGTAATGTAAAGATCAGGGAATATTACTGAATCATGTTGGCTTTGAAGCCCCTTTTGTCTTCTACAATCCATCCATCTCCTCCTACGCTCCACAGAATCGTCTGCCAGCCATCAAGGTGAAGTACCTTCTCCTCGCCTGGTTGGGCATTCTTATCATCAGCTGGATTGTCTACATGCAGTATGCCTCGTATGCCGAGCTGTGCCGCGGGCATGTGTGCCAAATGGTCATCGTAAGTGCACATACACACATAGAAAGAAAATCATAGAATGAATCTAAAGGTATTTATGAAATGTTTACACACAGTAAACATGTCTTCTTATAAAGCAGCCACTGCAAAATGTGGAGAATGTTTCAATCAGCTGGACTGAATCAGTTTAGTCACAATGAATGAACTGATCTTTTGTTGAGCAAACAAAGAGAATGTTTACAGCATTCAGCTGATTCTAATTTTTAAAGCTGTGGGATAATTAGAAAATTTGCTATCTTTGCCAAAAACACTGCAAACAAGAGAAAGGACATAAGAAAAAGCACTTATTTTCACTTAACAAGGTTTCAAGATTTTAAAATGTAAATTAGATTAAGGGAACATGCTGCTACCACTTCTTGGCAGAGCTTTATGCTCCTCGGGTCAGCTTCTGTTAGAGGTCCATAGGTCAAGACTTAAGCAGTGGGTCGATCGTTCTTTTGCCGTCGCTGCTCCCAGACTGTGGAACAAACTACCCCTTGACATCCACACCAATACTGACCTCAGCCTTTAAAAAAAAAAAAGCTTAAAACCCATTTGTTTAAATAAGCATTTAATTCTGACTAGGTTAATACTGTCCTCTTTCTGTGTGCTCCTTTCTGTGCACCTCTGGAAGGCTTTTAATGTCCTGCACTGCTGCACCACTACAGCACTTTTAATTGTATCTGTATGTTTTGTATGTGTTATGTATTGTTTTATGGCTTTGTTGTAAAGCACTTTGGGTACCATTTGGCTATTGTAAAGGGCTATACAAATAAACTTGATTGAGTTTAGTTTTGTAAGGAAAAATAAACATGCAAAAACATATATTTTGCTTTTCCTCATTAACTTAAATGTTTCTGATCATAAAACTATATAAAATTTAGTTTTTAAATAAACATTTAATCAACTTAAAATAAAATAGTCAGTCCAACTGCCACATACCCCCCCGTTATACTTTAACTACATGAAGTTGTCGCAGCAATTTTAAAAAGCAGTGCCAAAGTAAAAGAGAGTCCAGTGCATATGGATGCAGAAGAATAAATATGATGACTAAGGATGTACCTGTACCAAGAACAGCTGAACGTCTCACTGCACCCATCCCCCTTTCAACATATTGTATGACACAGAGGCCTTCATAAATGATTTAGAGCCATGCCTAAATGGAATGGAGGTATAATTTTCTTTTTAACTTTTCTCAAATATAAGATTTAAGCTTTAGAGAAATAACTCTATTTACTTATATTTCTCAAGTAAAAAAAAACAGGGTAAGAGTTTGAATTCGTTTTTAACTGATGTAGCCTATTTTGAAGTGTTGCTTTTATCATTGTGAACTTGGATTGTCTGCTGCAGCTGCAGTGAGGGGAAACACAGCTCTGAAAACAACACATTTTTTTCCTTTCAGTATTATTCAGGTTTCATTTAGGGAGGTTTCACCTTCAATAAACCAGCCTGACCTTGTTCACACTCCATCTGTTTGTGTGAGAACTCGGATGTGTCATGTGACCCCCACCCCCCGTCCACCAGCTCGGGGAATTTCCAACACATGCCAATGAATATAACCATTAGAGGGGAAATATGATGTGTTTTTCTTTGCGTTCATGTTCTTTTGGTGAATAGAAAAATGTCCTTGATAGATTCTAGATGCTGTAAGTTGGGGCACATAATTGTTGCACACATATACACCATTTTGGTTCACTCTCATGGTCACAGTGCAGCATCCAATCCTTACTTCTTTGGGGTATAGATGCAGTGGTGTAGAAAACACATTCAGGAGACTCTAGAGACATGTTGGTTGGAGCAAGAAGTCATGGTAATACAAATAAAACACAGTTGGAAAAAGACTGCTTGATTGCATTATGCAAGGTTTAAAGTCTAATATGCTTTGGGGCTTTTTGCATTTGGATTTGGCCCCTTATGTCCAGCGTGTGGACCATTCAACTCTTAAAAAGGAGTCGGCATGAGTGCAGGCTCGTTGCATTTTGGCAGTGGGTGTAACAGTGTACTAGTGGTGGAGGAAACAAATGTAGTTCTGCTGGTTTGCTGTATCTTTATCACCCTGACAGAAAATCACAAGTTAGGAAAAATAAAAAAAGACACCATTAATGCCTAAATGGAAGGTCCTCTTTGAAATAGTTTTACTTGACTGGATAGATCTATTTTTAAGAAAATTACAATTTTGGTTTGATGTTAATTTTATGTGCGCCACGGAGCTGCAGCCACACATGAGGTGTCAATCATGTCTCACTTCCAGCTCATCACATATTGACACTTGGTCAAGTCCAATGTGTGTCAGATACTGACGTGACGGGGATACCCCCCTTTTTAGAAATGTACCCGTGGGGTTAATGACAGTCTGTAGGAACTTCCAAAAATGGTTCCATGAGCTGTTAAGTAAAAACCTACCACTAACCCATCCCTTACCCTAACCCTAACCCCTAAACCTAAAGAAACACTAGTATACATGTTAACATACACTTCTAAAGCTGCCAAAGTAACTATAGGCTGAACTAAAATTTTTTTTTGCGACGTGATACACTGTCCGCAACCTTTCTTTACCCTGCACGTAATACACTGATGCAGGGGTTATGTTGTGAATTGGGAGGGAGAGTGTGTTAGCAGCATCATTGTTTTGCCATAGGCACGACTGCTTTCCCTATCCCGTTAGAGGGAAGAGGTCGTCCCATCCACGTTTATACCCTCCCACATACAAATAGGCGCCCTTCACAGCTGTGAGTGGGCCTTTATTGCAAGTGACATTTGAGAGTTAAGCGTCAGTTTGGGGTTCAGCCTTGGTGTGCAAGTCTGGTGTGGTAGAACCAAACCTAAACCCAGTTACATACATAAGTATATATTTTCTTATATATATAAAAATGTCTATATAGTATAAAGGTGGTTTATGGTTGCGCTTCAATCTATTTATGCAGTAGAAGTTCTCCTTTATTATGCCAGTGACTTTGCAGCAGTTCCTTATACCAAACATCCATGTTGCAAAAATGGGGAGAGACAGCAAGCGCAAATCGTGGCAGCGCTACCTAACTGTGGAATGTGTGGTGGCACCCCTAGATACCGCAGCTAGGTGCGTAGCAGATGCCACTGCTCTGTGGAGATGCCACAGAACATGCTGTCGTGTTAACATATTAAATTTAGGAAAACTTTATTCAACCTTTGTTCTGCTCTCCTATTCCTGAATGGTTAGCACTATGTTAGTGCAGATTTGCGCAGTGAAAATGATCATTTGTGCTACTTTTGTTGAAGAGATAGTAAAGATATTTTTTTAGGTCATCCAGAGGTCACCATCCCCCTATCAAAGTCCAAATTGAAGTGGTCTACTGATTTAGTGCTTCTGACTTAGTTTTTAAGATATAATGAATTATGAAATATGGCTTGTTACAAGACCACATGGCACATTACATTTCCAGTTCTTGTGGCCATTTAATAGGACTTGCCGGCTAAAGTAAGCATTTCAACAATGGGGAGAAGACCAAGCCCTGGATTTCTTATTACTAGTGGAAAAGCACAGTTAAAACTAAGGAAAATGGAGTGAATTAACCGACTGGATCTCTATGAATACAGAGAGTGGACTATGGGCCAATATGCGTACTTTGTGTGTGTTTTTGTGTGCACACGAAACATCATCAGCCTCAGCCCTAGCACTATTCCAATTCACAAGAACACAAGACCGAAAACGGACAAAATCCCTAAATGTTGTTCTAATTTCTCTCTCTTTACCCAGCATGCATCAAGGCAGACTTGAGCATTCTCCAGACTAACAGCTGTCCCAGCATGCACCACGGCAGCAACGGCTCCCAGGGACGCTCTCACAGAGCTCTTAAGTTATTCTAGCTCTTAAGCTATTAAGTTAAAAGTTCACCTTTCTGTTGCCGTTGCTCCACAAAAGTACATTTTAAGATAACTTGAGAAGAGAACATTATACATACAGTAATATATATATATATATATATATATATATATATATATATATATATATATATATATATATATATATATATATATATATATATATATATATATATATATATATATATATATATATATATATAAAGTTGTGATGTTGAGAGGCTTGTACTATCATAGATGCTGCAGCTAGGTACCAATGCCACGTTTTACCCCTGCTGAAAGTGGAAAGGAAAACTCCTCTCTAATGAAAAAAAACTCCGGCAGAAACAGGCTTTCTGCCATGACCTACTGGAGGTTTGAACAGACATAGAAAATACACAAAATTAACACAGTTGTACTGATCAGGATTGCCTTCTTTGTTTTATACCAAACATCCATGGGGAGAAAATAGATAAGTTGCAATAGTAGCTTCTGAAGAAGCTTCACCTAGGAGAGAAGCACAGCTTAGGTGGCCCCTGGGACAGATTTTAAACCTAGATGAAAAATAGCACATACAGCAATGTCTATGAGAGATACATGGCTAACCCCTGTGAGACAGGACCAAATGGATCGTCTGTAGAAGGAGAACATAAAAAGCAGCAGCAGCAGGAGCACGGCCGATGCTACTTAACCATAGATCCACCATAATGGGAGTATTTTACCAATCAGGTCAAAATTCATTTAACAAAATCTAAGCAAAAAAGTTAAAGGACCATGTTTAGCTTTATTATTCTGTTTTTTAGCTAACTTAGAATAAAGCCAAACTTTAGGTTTTAAACAAATGGCCTTACATTTACAATCTAGTGTAAAAATAAAATACAATACATTTAAAATCAAGTTGTTGTTTTTCTTGGAAATTCTGTATATTTAAATAAACTTGTTTTTGTAATTTAAACTCTTTAGTTGTTCTATTATCCTTTATGTGTGATGCATTATGATTTGGTTGATTGTACAACATATTATGAAGAAGCTATCCATACACTTAATTCAATGTCATTATTAGTTACTAAATTCACACAATTTAACTTCGTCTCATCAAAATTTTTAGCATTATAAGGTCCATTGTGAATAATAAATATAATTCAATGGATAATATATGAACTTCTTTCATATATTAGATGCCCTGAACTATAATATGAGGTGCCCCCAGGGACATAAATCAGAATTAACTTGCATATACACATATTAAATTACACTCTTCCATATAATATACTGAAAACCTCACACAAACACTAGTAAAAGCTCTCACATAAACTAGTGAAAACATTGACCTCTTATATAATCTACTCAAAAGCTCTCATACAAAGTAGTGAGAACTGTTCATATAAACTGGTGAAAAGCTTTACCTTTCATACACACTACTAGAAAGCTTTCATATACACTATTAAAAAGCTCTCATATACACTACTAGAACGCTCTCATATACACTATTAAAAAGCTCTCATATACACTACTAGAACGCTCTCATATACACTATTAGAAAGCTCTCATATACACTATTAGAAAGCTCTCATATACACTATTAGAACGCTCTCATATACACTACTAGAACGCTCTCATATACACTATTAGAACGCTCTCATATACACTACTAGAACGCTCTCATATACACTATTAGAAAGCTCTCATATACACTATTAGAACGCTCTCATAAACACTATTAGAACGCTCTCATATACACTATTAGAACGCTCTCATAAACACTATTAGAACGCTCTCATAAACACTATTAGAACGCTCTCATATACACTATTAGAACGCTCTCATAAACACTATTAGAATGCTCTCATATACACTATTAGAACGCTCTCATAAACACTATTAGAACGCTCTCATAAACACTATTAGAACGCTCTCATAAACACTATTAGAACGCTCTCATATACACTATTAGAACGCTCTCATATACACTATTAGAACGCTCTCATATACACTATTAGAAAGCTCTCATACACACTACTGAAAAGCTATTAGCTGATTTCAGTTGAAACGGAAGGTGTTTCAGTTGAAACGGAAGGTGTTTCAGTGAAACAGGAAGGACCGTCATTACACCGGAAGTTGTTTTAAACGGAGGTCATTCTGGCTAGCTCCGTACATTTTGTGCTATCTCCGGCCGAAATTGTATCAAATAAAATTATTGATTCATGCTCAGCTATCCGCTAAACAACTCACAGAAGCATGGGCATTACTCGACTTTCTTTTTTATGTTTTTGCTTCAACAGAGATCCTTTTCCGGTGTTGTGCGAAATTCTGTTCCCATGTGAAAATCTGTTCCACCTGTGTCGGGAGCGCTCCGCGCATTGCAGCCACATAAGCGGATCTGATCATTTCCCAGGCCTTTCGGATCATTTCTTGGTTAAATAAAAAGTCGTAAAATTATACAAGGTTGAGACATTTCGTTTAATCAGCCGCTGTTGTTTACAAAATTGTAAAATAAAAAAAATAAATGCGGTTTTCTTATGCTGTTTTGTGTTGTTATTTTAAACGCCAAGAGAATCAGTCTCTTTCCAAGTTTTTTCACTTCAGCCTGACAGAAATAAAAGTCAAGTCACCAAATACCAAATTTGTATTTATAATTTTTTATTACTGATATAAGATGATGGGAAGTGCCTGATAGCAGTTCCATAATATAGAAACAAATTAATTTAGCTGCAAATCTTAAACTGTTTATTCCTCTCTTCATCAACAACAAACCATCTGGATTCGGTGATATTTGAGCAATGTTTGCCTAAATTAAAGGAGGGGGACCATATATTTTAGCTTTCTAATAGTGTGTATGAGAGCTTTCTAATAGTGTATATGAGAGCGTTCTAACAGTGTATATGAGAGCTTTCTAATAGTGTATATGAGAGCTTTCTAATAGTGTATATGAGAGCTTTCTAATAGTGTATATGAGAGCTTTCTAATAGTGTATATGAGAGCGTTCTAATAGTGTATATGAGAGCTTTCTAATAGTGTATATGAGAGCTTTCTAATAGTGTATATGAGAGCGTTCTAATAGTGTATATGAGAGCTTTCTAATAGTGTATATGAGAGCGTTCTAATAGTGTATATGAGAGCTTTCTAATAGTGTATATGAGAGCTTTCTAATAGTGTATATGAGAGCGTTCTAATAGTGTATATGAGAGCTTTCTAATAGTGTATATGAGAGCGTTCTAATAGTGTATATGAGGGCTTTCTAATAGTGTATATGAGAGCGTTCTAATAGTGTATATGAGAGCTTTCTAATAGTGTATATGAGAGCGTTCTAATAGTGTATATGAGAGCGTTCTAATAGTGTATATGAGAGCATTCTAGTAGTGTATATGAGAGCTTTCTAATAGTGTATATGAGAGCGTTCTAATAGTGTATATGAAAGCTTTCTAGTAGTGTGTATGAAAGGTAAAGCTTTTCACCAGTTTATATGAACAGTTCTCACTACTTTGTATGAGAGCTTTTGAGTAGATCATATAAGAGGTAAATGTTTTCACTAGTTTATGTGAGAGCTTTTTACTAGTGTTTGTGTGAGGTTTTCAGTATATTATATGGAAGAGTGCAATTTAATATGTGTATATGCAAGTTAATTCTGATTTATGTCCCTGGGGGCACCTCATACTATAAAGCACAGTTCATCTTCTTGCCTTTTCCACTTCCTTACCATTGATTCATTAATGTGGAATTCTCTCAATGCTGCTTTATTTCCATGTTCTAATGCCCGACTGATATCCTTGAGTTGGATGTCTGTGTCATAAGCATGCAATTTTTGGGGCTTCCTATACTTACACTGTATTATAGTGAAGCACAGTATGTATTAATCTGTCGTGCTCCTGACTACTGTAGCCATAATGCTGCAATCACTGTGGCTTTGTCATTTACCAAAGTCATTCCAAAACATTTTGACAGAGCGCTGTGTGCATCGTAAAAATCTCTTCAAGTTCAGTAAGCACAACCAGAACTAATCCATGTAAAAGGTCCTACGCATTATCAGTTTTTGTTTTTTTTATTTAAATCCTTTTAAGTGAGTTTTATAGTGCAGAAAATATGGTATTTATTATTTTAAGTGTTACCAGTTTGAAAACAAATAAGTTTTAGTCTGGCTGGGAATCAGTGACCTGTGGGAAACAAAATGCGAAGTGAGGTAGACATTAACAGGAAGTAAAAGCACTTAATAGAGGATGTAGCACAATGAAATGTAATTGTTTCTAAGAAACAATCCTTGCAAAGGTTAAGTAGGTGTTTTGCAGAAATTTAAACCTACTTGTGGTTTCTAAGAGTATATATGTTTGCTTGTTACGTGTAATTTAATGCGTTTTCATGGTTGTGTTTGCAGTGTGATCACTACAGAAGAGGCATCATTTCAGGCTCATCATGTAAGGCTTTGTGTGATCAGAAAACCTTGACTCTGCACCGCTGCATGTCTACTTCCTCAACCCATCAGGTAAAACACAGCAAACATGTGATTGTAAACTTTTAAAAATTATATGAAGTAATTTATTTATGCTTATATTTTAGTAAATGTCAAATATCATGTCAACAGAAAGAAACTAAATGCAAAGCTAATTAATGAGTAATGTCAACACTATAACAAACTGTGATTTTTTTTTGTCCTGCACAAAAAAACCTGATGTAAAAGCATAATTCCGCGTCTAGACAAATTTAAAAAAAAAGTCTCCAGTGGGTAGTCACGAGACAAGTGTGGGGTGGAGCGAAGTGAGTTCACTAGGGTTGTGGTCAGGATAGGGGAAAGTGACAGTGGTTTTAACAGACTAAATAATCTAATAGATGCTTTCAGGTTGCGTTCCATCTATGCTCAGATGTCTAAATACCACTTAAAACAGTTTTTTTAGTCCATGTGATGCCTGTAACTGTGAACAATGGAGAGTATGACCACTGAAAGTACAGTGTCATTAATTCTAGAAACATGTCAGTACAACTTCCTAGTTCCATACCCTAAATCCACAGAGAGCAGGACAATGTTTTACAGGCCTTTTTCATAAAGCAGCGATGTACCTCTTTAAAAGTTAAACATGAAGAGGTGATAAATTAATGGCAAAGAAATTCCATTTTCATCACCAGTCATTTTCAAGAATGATTTACTTTAAACAGCAGTATCAAATAAGTGATTATTTCATTTTAACAGGTTTTAATACTGACATAAATGATGGAGTATTAGGGGCAGGCTAAAGGGAATAGCTTTTTTGATAGACTGTAATTTTATTAAAATAAAGTAGTAAAATTAAAAGAATAAAGTCATTATATTACAACGAAAAGTTGTAATATTACGAGGCTAAAGTTGTTATATAACAAGAATAAATTCATAATGTTGCTAGATTAATGTCATAATATTACGAGGATAACAACAGGTTATTCTCTTAACAGGTTAAACACTAAGGCTTAAGCAGTGGTAACCATGTTAAATGTTTTTCTAAGAAACATATCTTTGAAATATAATAGCCAGCATTTTAGAAATATATGTGGACTTAAAGTTTATAGTATTTTTACTACACCTGGTCAAGTTAGAATAGAATAGAATGGAATGGAATTCAATAGAATAGAAAATCCATTTATTGTCCCACAATGGGGAAATTCTTGTGTTTACAGCAGCAAAAAGATTATAGAAAAAATGGTCACACGAATGTGGACCTTAGAAAAATATAAAAGAATAACATGATAAAGTAATAACATAAGAAAAACCTAAGCTACTGTCTAACATGTTCTGCATGTTTCTAGATCTACATTGGACTATGGAAAGATAGGCCAGTGGTGATCAAATGTGGCATTGAGGATCCAGTGAACATAGATGGAGTCCCAGACACCTTGCCAAGGCCAGAAATGAGTTTATTTGACAAACCGACTCGTGGAACCTCAATGGATGAATTTAAAGAGATGTTGCACAGTTTTCTTAAGGTATTCACATTATTTACCATATATGGAAAACCACTTCTGCGACAATTGTACGGACCCAGTATAGTGTCTGGATCACTATTTGTAACACTATTAATCTCTTTTCTTTAGGTTAATCTCGGGGAACAGCCAACTTTAAGCGCCTTGGTGGACAGGTTCATCACTCTTGCCGACGTCAACCAGGATAACAAAGTGTCTCTTGCAGAGGCCAAGTCCATTTGGGCTTTGCTTCATATTAACGAGTTCCTCCTGATGGTGGCGCTGCAGGAGAAGGAGCACACACCAAAACTGCTAGGCTTTTGTGGAGACTTGTATGTAACAGAACGAGTGACCCATAGCTCCCTTTACAGGCTGGAGGTCCCTCACTACCTTAAAGCAGTCGTCCCAGAGGCCCTTAGCTCTAGTCTTAACCACTGGCTGGCGCCATCCTGGCCCCGAAGGGCGCGTATCACCATCGGCCTGCTAGAGTTTGTGGAGGAAGTCTTTCATGGATCATACGGGAGTTTCCTTATCTGTGATGCCAGCCCTTACCACGTAGGTTACAATGCTAAGTACGACTGCAAGATGGCCAGCCTGTACAGCGTGGCATCAGATGCCATGGTGCGATCTTTTTTAAAGGGTCGACGGTGTGAGAACAATGCCGACTGCACTTATGGCAGAGACTGCACGGCCACGTGTGACCGACTGATGAAGCAGTGCAATACTGAGGTTGTTCAGCCTAATCTTGCTAAAGTGTGCATGCTGCTGCAGGATTACCTGCTGTTTGGAGCTCCCTCAGACCTGCGGGGGGATCTGGAGAAGCAGCTACGCACCTGTGTGACACTCAGTGGTTTAGCAAGCCAGATGGAAGTTCATCACTCATTGGTTCTTAACAACCTGAAGACATTGCTGTGGAAGAAAATTTCCAACACACAGTACTCCTGAACATAAACTTAGCCAACACATTCCCAGTCTTATGTGTAAACCATAAAAAAAATAAATAAAAAAAAAACAGCTTTTTTTTTTTGGCTTCTGAAGTTTTGCCAAATGGTATAACCAATTTGCTCATTTGTGTTATTATCATCCGAGATGCAGTTCTGTGAAAAAGTATTTACCCTCTAAAGAATTTCCTATTTTATCTTGTTTTGTCATCCTCTTGACATTTGAAATTTTCATTTTTTTTATGGCAGGCAAACACATCAATCGTCTAAGGAAGTTAATGAGGTTGTTTTTAATTTTTATGAGTCTCCAATGAACCTCGCTGATAGAAATTAACCACAAATGGATAAAACCTGAGAGTGGTATTCCTTTCAGGGGTGAAACATTCCTCACCTCCATGACGACATCAATAATTTACAAACAAGATAACAAAATAATATAAAACTATTTAAAGCAATGTAGGCCTTATTTGCCTCAGTTTTGTCAGGGTTGATGATTTACCAATCAGAAGAGATGAGGGTAATCGCTTCATGGAAAATTTTAAAGGTAAATCATTGTTGATAAAAAGAACCAGGCCCATATTACACTTGCTAAAAGTATCTAGACGTTCCTTAAGACTGCCACAATAACATAAATCTCCAGTAGAAAATCAGTACACTGACAGTCAAACATGATGTTGTGATTGTCTGTGCTTTACTGCTACAGAACTTGCTCTACATATTGTAAATGATAATCCTAAATGAGTATGTCTGATCAACAGCTTAAGCTCTTGTAGATATATATATATTTTTTTTTTATCTAAAAGGCACATGGAAGCCGACCTCTAAGTGATTAAAGCAAAAAAGGGGCAAATAAGCTTTTAAAGGGGTCTATAAAAGTCAGGACCTTAAATATGTTCATAAATATACCAATGAATTTGAACAACTTTGCAGAGAATGGCTCCAGGTTCTTCATGCAAACAAAGGGCTCCTTGTGAGTTACATTAAACATTTCATGGCAGCGTTTGCCACCGAAGGTGGCACACACCCAGTTGTTAGGCTTAGGAAGTAAGTACTTTTATTTGCTGTCTCTATGGAAACTGTGAACTGACATTTATAACCTCAATCAAGAGAATCAGCAAGCCCAAATTTCTCATGACATCAGTTATTTTAAAGTCATTGGTTTGCCAGACATTCATTTGCACATATATACTCAGGACAATGCCTGTAACTTCATCTGTTCCATTAAAGTAGTTTTGAAAGTAAACCAGCTTGTATTTATTTGTCTTGGTTTTGTTTTAATTTTGTTTGTGCATGACTGAAATTGTGGCTTTAGTCAAAAAGTTTATTTTCTGTACATTAAATTGATTTCAGCAGATTGGAAAAGTGCAGCTGTCAGGAAATATGAGCAAAATCATTTGCAAATAAAAATAAAACAAAAATACACGAGGCAGTAAGGACTGGTAAAATAATTATTAGGGCTTTTAGCTGGTGAATTAATGATAACTCAACATTTTGAGCTGATCTTCAGAGATTCCAAATAAGGAATGTGAAATTGCCTGTACAAAATAATTTTAAACAGAAGCTGCAATATGTTGAGGTCAATCTACAAAATAACCCCAACCTATTTAAATAAGGAAGCTGCATATGCTATTGGCTGTTTGAGAAAGATGAAGTCTTAAGCCCTGGAGTTGGAGGCATAATTGTAGAAAAGGTTAAATAATAATGACAAAAAGAATATCATGCTTAGTGCACATGAGTAGACCCATCTAAAAAAAGATAAAAATAATAAAAGTTGAAAGCTGAAAAGCTCCTCAACCCAACCTCCCCCAGTAAGATTAAAAATGAGATTAAGCTCCAAACAGCTGCACTCACCTCAGCCAACTCCTGTCTTGCGCTTGCTTGGTCTATTGCAATTTTATTCAAAATAACTCTTTGTATGTAGCTTGAAAAAGGAAAATTGAAGTAGAATAAAACAACCTCTTCCCAAAGCTAGGGATCCCATCGCCCCACCACTGCTTTGTACTTTTACAGGCATTGTGATGGATGTAATTATTTAGCTGTAAATATTCAGTTTTTTGTTTCTTTTTTTTAATAAACATGCTACTATTTCAATTCCATTCTGGTTCATTGAGTTAGTTTTAGCATCGAGCTGTGCTGGCATGTGCAAACATCTTTTCCCCAATTATAAAATTCTACCATAAATGAGCCAACATGCACACAGACAATCTAACCATACATTTTTGCATGCAAGATTGCAGCTGAGTTGGCGACCTAATTTGTAGGTTACATTAAATAAATAATTTAGCATATGCCCCTCCAAGTATTGGCACATTTATCAAGGCAAAAATAAATAAATAAATAAAAAGTTTATGCATTGCTCTTGAGACATTTTCAACACATTTGTTTTGCACTTATCTGATAGATCCTATGGCATCAAGTTTGCACGTTTTTATACACAAAAACATTTTTTAGATCAGGTCCTTAGTTTCTTAAACAATACTCTAGTCAGTATTTTCACTTTTAAAGAACATTTTTAGTACATTTAAAAAAAAAAATTAGGTTGATATACACTATGTACTCAAACTATGCACAACAACACAACTTAGATCTTGGTTTACATGTAGCTGGTGTTATCGTGGTTATTAGAATACGTTTATACTCTTTGTAAAAATACCTAATCTTATTGGAAAATGTAAATGTCATTTTAACAAAACTTGTAACTAAAGGAAACATTAGGTGCTGTAAAATAATCTTTAAGACTTTGGATTTGATAAAGCAGTGGATCAACACCCACAGATGATGCATTTCTATTCTTATTGTAAACTCTGATATCCATATAAAAAGTTAAATTGACATTCAAATTAAAAGAAAATGGTGGACTTTTAAGTAACGCTCCAGTCATAATTTCTTTTAACCTGGAGAGACACACAGGGGGGCAATTAGAGAGTTAATTGATATGAATTGATAAAAAAGATGCTTGCAGAAGACACATAGCTGAGTTATCAGGGATATTAATAGAATAGGCAGAATAAATGTCGTCAGTCACTGCCCTGTTTATTCTTCATTATTATTACTACCCCAACTTAACTGCAATACCGAAATAAATTTAAAATTTAGTTTATTGCATTTGTTTTGCATGAACTTAGGAATATACTATAAAACATAGCAAGAAAGTTAACAGTTGTAGCTCCTGTCTTTGATTCACCTGTATGACTACCAGTTTCTATTAGGTGTAAGTCACAGTCACAAACATTACAAATGCTTTTAATATCTCTTTTCTGTCTGTAATAAGTCTATTAGTTTCATTTCCTAAGTTTATACACTGAAATTACTGATATGAAATACCTTTTTTGGTAGAAATTATTTATTGCGTGACTGGGGATAATAAATAACATCACAGATCAGATGGAATGTGAGATTTTCCAAAACTAAAGAAATCCAAGTTTTTTCATCTGAACATTTAGAGATAGAAATAAGTACAAACTTAAGGTGCTAAAACATACCACTAGATGTCGCCATATATGACAATATCAATGTCCTTAGAAGATTTAGCAAATTTTATACAATGAAAATTGTCAAACATCAGCAATGGTTACGGGTCCATTGTTGCCCTGTTATGGACCGGCAACCTATTTAGAGTTTGCCTCTTAACCCTAAACTAATAGGAACCAGTCATTTGCAGCCATATAAGTATCATTTATTATTAATATATCTTTTTTATTTTGGATGAGTTTTTTGTTTCTCCATGAAGAAAAAGACAAGCAACAACAAACCCAACATTTGAGACTCCCATGTGGAAAGGAAGTGCTAAATAGAATCTTGCAGATGTATTACAAGTCACTAGATGGTGCCGTTTGACTTAATCAAAACGATCACAATTGTGTTATCCAAATTTTGGTTAAGGCATGTGTTAAGATAATTGCAATGATTTTTTTTTTTATAATGTATTAGATTAAGCTGAAGCATCTTACAATTAATCCAATTAGGGCAAAGAAGAATTGTATTGCCTTATTTATTAAAGTATGAAGGAGAGATTGGGGATTGTTGCAACACTTCTTAGGAACAATTTCAACATGTCATAAATTCATTTAATTTTACAAATCAGCTTTTGTTTACTGTCTCAATGTGAGTATTATTATTTTGATAATTTGTATTGTTCATAAAACTTATCAACTAGACTCCAAACTTGAAGATTCACCTAACACCTGCCCTCAACTGACCCACACTCCAATGAGGCATGTGACCGAAACCACTACGACGAGGGAGTTACCAACCCATCAGAACCCCCTAATGATCATTAACACCTCCCATGTGACCTCCTGTGCCCCCCCTAATTCTTTGTTACACCTACAGTACATTAATCTCAGAGCTCCCTACCACTAGTTAGAATTGAAAAAGCCTCTTGGATAAGAGGCGAAATGTAGTCTAGAAAACTTCACGTTCAGTTGCCTAGACTGAACTTTTTCAAGCTGTATCAATAAGGCAGTTTTCTGATTCTCTTGACACATATCTGTACCTTCCAATCTCTCATCAACAGATTAAGCACTAAAACTATCCCTCCCTAATATAGATGCTTTTGATTTAGGTTACTGGAGGACAGTAGGAATCATTTTCCTCACTCTGTCATTTTCTGCTACTACTCTCTATATAGTCATTTAATTGAATTCAGTTTATTAATATAGTGCCAATTCACAGTACATGTCATCTTAAGGCACTTTACAATTCAACTAGATCTAATTGATTCAAAGTTTTCTATCTAAGGAAAACCAGTTGATTGCATCGACTAATTGACTCAAAGGCAATCCCTCACATAAAGCATGCTTGTAGCGACAGTGGAGAGCTAAAACTCCCTTTTAACACCTCCAGCAGAACCAGGCTAAGTGTGATTGGCCATCTGCCTACAGAGGCCAATTGGGGTTCAAGGAGACAGAAGCAGAGATACAAAAGGCAACTGTCAACCAGCTCCTCAGGCGGCCGCGTCCAGGAAACACACAGTCAGGCAGACGGACTCCGAGACAACCCTTATGTCAGATGACGAAGAGAGCACAGCCTAACCTGACTCCGCCAGATGGATTTGCTCCGTATATCCACCTGGAAACCTTCCGTTGAAGTAATTTTGGGAAGGGGCGAAAACCAATCAGATCAACGAAGCATATGACGTACTAACAGAGCGACGACGAAAACACAACCACAAGCCAGGCACAAGACAATTGATAGATCAAACTCTTGCCGAAACCAGTCGGCAGAAGAGCAAAAACATCTTTTCCTCTGAGAAAAGCCTCCAGAGCAGTGTTTTGCTCTTCTTTCAGTGAAGAAATACTCTGTAATTCTGATAAAACTTGCTCGATAGCCACGCTAACGGTATTTTCATCGGCTGAAGCCGCCATGTTCTCTAGACTGAACTGTCGCGCTTCTCGTTGCGTCACACCTTAAAGCCAACGCTGATTGGACGTTCGTTTGGTGAACTGCTCCAAATTTTCTGTAACGGAGAGTAGCCAGACTGATTTGCGAGTGAAACCTTGAAAGCTCGCGAGATCAGGATGGTCTCACAAGGCTAAGCACAGCCAGCCAGTCACAATCAAAACAAGGACTATTCTAAAAAACTGGCCAAGTTTGAACAACTATGAATAAGGTGTTGATGGCAGCAGCAAAGCTGATATTTCTCTCCAGGATGGTGCCACAGCCAAGGAACGGAGCAGATAAGGCCACTATAATGAGAAAAAAAGCAGAGAGAGCATAACGTTATAGATTGAACTAACAAATTCCGCAGAGTGGGAGAATAGAGATAGAATGAAGCAGAATGATGAAATCGGGGTCCTGTGTCCTCCAGCAGTCTATGCTTATAGCAGCATAACTATAGAGATAGCACTGGATAACCTGAACCCCTCTAACTATAAAATGTATCAAAAGGAAACGTTTTAAGACCCTTAAAAGTAGACAGGGTGTCTGCCTCACAGGTAGTTGGTTCCACAGGAGAGGAGCCTGATAACTAAAAGATCTGCCTCCCATTCTACTTTTAGAAATTCTAGGAACTACTAGTAAACCTGCAGATTGAGAGCAAAGTGCTCTTTTAGGAACATAAGGAACAAGATCTCTGATATAAGATGGAGCTTGGCTATTTAAAGGTTTTTATATGAGAAGGAGGATTTCAAATTACATTCCGGATTTAACAGGATGCCAATGAAGAGAAGCTAGGATAGGAGAAATATGATCTCTCTTTTTAATTTTCATCAGAACTCTGGCTTGAAGTAATAAATGCATGGACTAGCTTCTCAGCATCATCCCTGGACAGAATATTTCTATTTTTTTGCAATATTCTGGAGATGAAAGAAGGGAATTCTAGAAACATCTTTGATATGGAATTTAAATGACAAGTTCTGATCAAAAATAACTCCAAGACTTTTTACTTTAATATCTGAGATCTCAATGAAGAGACTGATTTATCAGCTTCTTTTTCAAAGACCCTATTCCAAAGACTATAACTGCTGTTTTATATTTTGGATGTTTCTGAGGTTCAGCACATCTGATTCAGATGATTGCAGTTCAGCAAAGCCGGATAATCTGCTATCAATTAATAACAGGTGTGTGGAAGCTGGGAAACATCTAAAACATGCAGGGCAGGGTGCCTTGAGGACCAGGGTTGAAAAACACTGAGCTAACTTATTGGTGCCATAGGCGTTGTTCTTTCCTATTAGATGATAAAGCAGATCCGAGTCTTCAGTGTTTAATCTAGTGTCATTTCTAGACCTACACCTGCCACTACATATAACAACTGTACTTTCCTCCAACAGATCATAACGCTAGCCTAACATTTCCAATTAGGACCTATTTCTACCTATTTTCCTTAAGTACTTATTGATGTGTTTGATTTATATCTATTTTATGCCCCTACTATTTGTGGCAAATAGATGCTCAATTGAACCTACCTGAGCCCATAATTCTGTTATTTTATTTTTTTTATTTCGGTTTGACGAAATTATATAATCCTAAATTGTATATTTTATCTATCTATCTATCTATCTATCTATCTATCTATCTATCTATCTATCTATCTATCTATCTATCTATCTATCTATCTATCTATCTATCTATCTATCTATCTATCTATCTATCTATCTATCTATCTATCTATCTATCTATCTATCTATCTATCTATCTATCTATCTATCTATCTATCTATCTATCTATCTATCTATCTATCTATCTATCTATCTATCTATCTATCTATCTATCTATCTATCTATCTATCTATCTATCTATCTATCTATCTATCTATCTATCTATCTATCTATCTATCTATCTATCTATCTATCTATCTATCTATCTATCTATCTATCTATCTATCTATCTATCTATCTATCTATCTAGTTGACTTTCCATCTGTCTGACCAAACAATTGTTTTCTGTATTATTAAATGATATTTTACCTGATTTCAAGACTCCTCGTATGTCCATATGTCTTTGTCTGAGCCACCATTGACTGCTGTTTCTTTTCGTGTGTTCCACTATGCACTGTGCTGCTTTACTTGTTTAGATTTCTAAGTTGATAATCTCGATATCTTTAAAAAAAAACATAACAGTCTTTAAAACTGATTGTTATATAATATATATATATATATATATATATATATATATATATATATATATATATATATATATATATATATATATATATATATATATATATATATATCCATTACCAAAATTTTAACTTTTGCAAAATGTCGATTGCAGAAATGCAGTTAAAACCATTTTTTTTTTCTCATATGAAGCCCAAGAAGAAAAATAAGTAAATTTTTTCCATGTAAAAAGGCTTTTTGCCATTTATAATAATCGATAAATAGCGGGAAGCCTTTTGGTATAATCCTACCATTCTAATACGATTTAGATTAACTGTTTCACCCAGTTTGTTTGGATGCCTTTTTGTTGGAGAATCTGAACCATATAAGAGTGGCAAGAAAAAAAGCAAAAACATAAATATGTTTTAAGCATTGTATTTTTCTCAGTAATAAAGAGTAATTATCCAATTCCTGATTTTTATCCATTGGTGCTTCTTTTTTCATCTGATAATACTGAATTAATCCTGCGTGCCGGATAACATGCATTTTTCTTTTCTACTGTTGTGGGAAAACTGTACCTTATATGAATTGTCAGATAATGCACACCACAGACCTGTGAACTTTAATTATGATGCCTCAGCTGACTGAATCTGAGTTTCTCCTAAGTGTTTTTGTAGACATGCTGACATTGTGCCATTCAGCTCTGTAAATTCACAGAAGACTGGATCTGTCTTGCACAGACCTTAACATGATGTAGTGCTTTCAAGCTCTGAATTGGTTCAGTGTTCAGCTCTGCAAGGTTAGAGAGAGGGGAGGGAAGAGGGATGGCTCAACGCCTGAGTAAGTATGCCTACACTAAAGGTAATTGCTTCTTTCCTTCCTTCAGCACCTCCTCTAGCTCTCTCCGCTCCTCCCATCCTCATGCCTGCGTATACATCACACAATATCTGTCTGCAGTTACAAGGGCTTTCACATCCCCCTAAACAGGGAACGAGAACAAGAATGAGAGAAACTGAGAGTAAGGCGGCTACAGACACTTTTCTAGTTAATCAGGAGGATCGCTTCCCTTCTTGTCTTGTCCTCCTGGCCCTGGTGTTGACGTGCATGCTGCTGTCTCTCCCTCTGAGCTGCTACAGACACAGTCACCAGAACACATAAGGAGCACGGCTTGCTGGTTCTCTCACTCTCTGGAGCACAGATTCAAGATGCAGCAAGAAACCACCTTTTTCTATTCCCCTTCAGGTAAGCAAATATCTTAATCTGAGATATTCAATATATACCTAATTTTCTATATTTAAGCATCCTGTTATATTATTTTTAAGTGTTCTTTTCCTATCCTTTTCATTTTTATCTGTATATGCTTTTTTCCTATTCTTCACACATTTGTTGTTCTACAGGAGGTGATAATGCTTGTTGTTGTTGTTGTGCCTCCTTCCATATGGCAGTGCTGAAGGTGGAGTAGCTGCTGTTACTACAACTGGCTCACTCCTAAAGCCCAGCTGTGAAACTACATATGGACGAGGGAGTAGTTGATTCTTGTGACCTAGATATAAGAACAAGGCTCAGTTTTTTTTTTTTTGTAAACTCGATCTGACTGAATGCTGCAGTTCACTGCCTATAACATAGAGCTTTATTTATGAGTGTCCTCGTTTAGAAAGACTCCATCATAGAACTGTCACTGAGATGTAAATTCACAGCACCATAATTGGTGAGATCATAAAAAAGGTATTGGTAGTGACTGAGATGTTGCATATTGGTCGCTTTTCTCTATCAGCTGAAGACTGCAACAAAAAAACAAGACTGAAAATTTTACAAACAGGCAGGTTAATTAGTAGAATTTCTCACCTACATTATACCGTGTGATGTGGGTTAGCTTTTGTTCCAGGGGAAGTAAACCCAAAATTGCAAAAGCCCTTAATTGCCAAATAGGCTTCAACTTGCGAGACAACATACATTTTATCCTTTCGATTTTAACATTAATTTTGATACTAATAACATTTATTTTAAAGAATTGTCTTAATTGACAAAGTGATTATTTTGAGTGAAAATGTAAGAAAAATTATACTTAAAAATTTTTACAGATGAATACTGTCAAAAGTTCTGTAATTACTAATGCAATTTGGGGTATGCCTCTTTTAAAAAAGAGGAACATTTATGCCTCTTTTACTTTTTGAAAAAGGCTCAACCCTTCAAATTGAATGGAGAGCATCGATAAACATGCATTTAGAGTCTTTCCTCAGATTCTGAATCATATTTCAATTTGGATTTAGACTGGGCAAATTCTACACATGATTGTACTTTAATCTAAACCATTTCATTGCAGGTATGGCTCTAGAGTTAGAATTGGAAATCTCAAGTCTCAGTCAAAAGTCTTCTACTTTGTCTAATTGATTTACTTAGACTTAAACTTAGACCATTTTTATTGACATTTGTATACACAGAGTGTTTACAGAACAAAATTTCATTAAGTACAGCTTTTCAGACAGTAAATGAATGTTTCCATTCCATAAAATGCAGCGGTAATCAAATGTAAACAGTGTGGGAGAAAAAACATGGTGCAAAAAAAGCATTCATATGGAAGTTCAGAGCATAAAATAATATATGGTGCAAATATAAAGTGTTGTCAGTGTGATGCTGTCTGTGACATGAGATTTTGTCTGCTGTTCAGCAGTCTGATGGTGGTGGGGAAGAAAGTGTTTCAGAATCTGCTGGACCTGCATTGAATGCTGCAAGCCTCTTCCCAGAGGGCAGCAGAGAGAACAGTCCATGGTTGAGCTGTGAGGGGTCATTGTAATGTTACTGGCTCGGGACACGCAGCACTGGGACGAAATGTGTTTTATGGAGAGAGCCCGAATATCCCCTCTGGTATTTCTCACCACTCTTCTCATTTTCTTCCAGTCTGAGGTGCAGCAGCCTCCACAGCACACAGTAAGACAGCTGGTCAGAACGCTCTCTGTGGTGCTTCTGCGGAAGGTCGTGAGGATCAGTGGGGGCAGGTCTTGTTTTGTTTTCATCTGATTAGATTGTATCTTATCAGGTTTATCAGTGTTTATTAGTTAACTAGAATTTCATATTTCTCAGGACTAGTGCAGTTTTTAGCTGCTTTTTGGGCTGGAGCCCTAGAAAACAGGCTGACTGACTTCTTTAGTACATGATGGACTTTACATTTATTCATTTGATTCAGGTGTGCTGAAAAAGATAGCAATCCAAATGTGGACAATGGCTCCAAAAACTGAAGATTGAAATTTGTATGCTTGTTGAAAAATTCTGCCCTGCTCTACAACTTGATCCTTGGCCTGTCTGTTCTATTCCTTGGCCAAACAGTGTCAAGCTCAGAACAATTGGACCCAGGGTTCGAGGTGGACCAACAGATTTCTTAAAACGTTTGTTAGAAATGGACCTGCAGTCAACTGCGGCCAGGCATACACTGAGCGATTTTTTCAATCGTTACACGCAGCACAGCTAAAACTGTATGACAAAACTGGGGTTTCGTCGTACAGTCTGAGTTCATGGCTCAGGATGTATATTTCCACAATTTCCTGTGCAGCCCGATGCTCTGATGCGATCTACCTGCTCACACTACGTCTAAAAACCATGTTGGACTTGTCTATCCGGAACCCAAACCTGTAAAAGAGGAATATGAAGCTCACTACAGTGCAACGCTCTGCCTTGGCAATTTATGCAATGTTGTGTGGTGAAAGCTCTAAAAAGAAAAGGTGATGACGTATTTGGTTAAAGACGTGGCTGCTACAGTCTGTCAGTTTTACAGAAAGAACACCATTTCACTCGCACCCCTGCCATGCATCTGTGTTTTTATCTGAGAGGAAGAAGGAGAAGAGTCTTTGTTTGCGCAAACCCACTGAGGGATTTGCCACGATGTCCGACTGAAAATCAAAAATGTTTGATTTTCTCCCGACCTCATGATTCCTGATCAGGAGGTGGTCGTGAGAGGCTGATCGCCTCTCGTTACCCCCTATAAACTACACGATGCACAAGGCACGATCAGGCTGAATGTTGGGCTGACTGAAAAATTATTGCCCGACTGGAAAGTCGGCCCGAAAAGGGCAACAAATCGCACAGTGTATGCCCAGCTTAAGGCAAGAATATCTGCAGGATAATCCGGAAGGTTAAGCCAAAACCGATGTCAAAGACAAGCTCATATATCAGAGCCAGGAGATCAGAGGTCTGAAGAGGTACTGAAGGGAAATCCAGAACAGAGCTGCGAAACAGTTCCAGGTTTGGTTAACATAGGTCAGGCAAACAGATCAGAATGTGGACAGGCAGGCTCAGAGGTAGGCTCGAAAAATCTGGCACTGATGACTGGACTGAAGGCTGATTAAATAGAGGCTGCAGCAAGTGGATTAAATGAACGGTAATGAGAACTGGGAGGATATAAACAGGTGAATGAAATTAGTAACTGGACCATTCATTAGTGCCAAGATCATGACATTTATTTTACACAGTTGGACTTTGTTGACTATAATGCTACGCATGTGCTGGAAGCAGTAAAACAGCTTCTGCTGCTTCATTTTTGATGCTTGTATCCATTAAGGTCCTACACGTCTCAAGTGCATCTTTGACACTCCTGAGGTGCTTCCAGTGTGTCTATGCTTCTGCTGCTCCTGTGTTCAATGGCAAAGAGCGGCTTTGCTATATTTTCTATGTGGGTACAAGTACTCTTAATATATGTTAAGTGGCAAAGTCCACCTGAAAACTTAATCTGTGCTGTCATTTCATCAAGATTACGACCCTGCCTTTTCAATTATTATTTTGCTGTCGGACCAGCGCATACCCCCTGTTCACCGGCGTTACTCTGTCACTGGGAGTCCCTTTCAGTGGCAGTCTCTGGCCTTATCACCTCTTGGGGGTTTTTCCGCTACTGTTTGCTGTGGCTGAAAGGAATTTTTCACATACGTATTTCAAACTGCAGACACCGGAATATTAAAAGCAAACATATTTTGCTGGCAGGTTAAAACATTTTAATTTAATTTAGGCTTTAATAAACTGTTTCAGTGAAGTTAGGTATGGCTCCCTGCCAGCTCCCAGATCAGCTTTTCTGATTGGTAGATGTAGTGCGTCGACGGCAAAAGTTAAGCAGCTTCAACTTGGGTGTCGCCTTGATGCTTGTCAACCATAGACTTTGCATGTAAACTAGCTGCTTCTGCTGATTCAGCAGCGTACGTACGGGCGTAACGTAGCATTAGCCTGAAAAGAGAAAGTTCAGAATAGATTTTATCCAGGAGTGTCACAACAAAGGTGGTTAGAAAGGTGCCAAACAAAAATTGTTTTATTGAAAATATATTCTATACTTAGTACATAGTTTTGACTGTGTGCTGGTAAATTGCATATGAAATAAATTGAAAAAAAGATAAAAAGTGTGTAACAAAAATGCATATAACCTTTATCTGAACTAACGTATTATTAACTTTACTGCGGAACTTAGGTGGACTAAAAGAAAAAAACAGATTTCTGTCTCACCGAGAAAAACAAATGTAAAGTTTGTCTTTAGATTCTTTGCCACCCAGACCATCATTCGTCCCAAAACTGAAGGATCCCTGGAACAGATTTAATGATGTAGCTGCCAGTATTTTTCACCACAGACTGTCACATCAGTGTGTTTTCGACACACTGCCTGCTACACATCGCCATGTTTTCAGCCCTTGAGGGAAATCATTACCTGCATATGTATTTAGGTTGATTCCCATCACCTTTTCATATGAGCGCAACAGACTGCAACAAAAGCACAGCTCAATGTGACAGAGTGTGGAAAGTGCGGGTTATTTATATTGATGTATTGTTTATGTGTTTACACGCATGATGTGATAACAATGATATATGGGTTAAATAAGGTGAGAGTCAATGAAGTTATACAGACAGGCGTAAATATTCCTCTTCATGATCAGCATTTGCTCACAGCCTCCCTGTGCTAAAAATGTTGCAGAAATCTCCCTTCTCCTTCTTAAAACCCTTAATTAAAAAGCCAATCTGCATTTACCAATTACCAGTACAGCCTGAAATTTGCTGAAAACAAGGAAATACAAGTATTGATCTGACCATGTACTGTGATAAATTTGAAGCGCAGTCTTTAGACTACTTTTGATAAGTGATCAAGGATCCTTCTAAAATTGCATCCTTCCAGATAGTACTGTCTGAACTGAGCATATAAATAGGATGCCTAATTCCAAAGACAACCTGATTGTGAATGCATTAAAACAGATATGAATTAGCTTTGGTAACCAGTT